TGTAATAGATGACTGATGCTGCACCATCATTTTCTCCCAACTTACGTCCAATTAAGACATAAACTGTGTTTAAATGAATCGCAGAGCAGGTCATTTTTATATTTTATGTATATTTGATGGTTTAGATGCGCACATGAAGCCCAAAATGAGGCGATAGCCTACTTTTCTTGTCTCGTTTTAGTGCATTTCGGAGCGCGCGTCGTGAACAACGTCTCTTGCGCAGACTTTTGTGCTTTTAATAGCTCTTTTAATGATTTAACGCGTCCGCAGTTTAGCAACAGTACAGACTGCATTTTCCAACAATCACCGATCGTGCTGATTCTGACGGTACGTTTGGGTTTTAGGAAGAAATGACAGCGCAACGCTGTGAAGGGAAGGAAGTTGCGCTAGACAGAATGCGTCTGTAATGGTTTCATCTCAAATATCTTCTTTTTATAATCTTTGAAAGCGGAAATCTAAAATACAATTAGAATAATATCCCAGATCTAAAGTGTAACCACGTTTTGTCCTCATTGTCACTCATTAAGCAGGGCTGTCGTGCTGTGCGCGCTGTGGCTCCGGGTGAGAGATCGCTCTCTCTTCTGGGCTGCGAATAGCAAAATTGCATCACAGACAAATTGTTTAATATTTTTATTATATATAGAAATGGTTGATATTCAGCCCCGTTGCCCTTTTAATACCGGATACCAAGCGGGAACACTGAAACGAGCGAACGTACAAGCCATATAGTGACACGCGTAACGTTAAACCAATGGTGTAAACATAATCTGATGAATATGAGGCCACGGGTTTTTATTTAAGAAAGAACGTAGCCTACGTGTGTAGGCTATGTAGACACAAGCAACTTTCACAATACTAACTAAAATACAATTAATATTATTTTATTGAATTTGAATTAGTCGTTTGAAGAGTAAAAAAAAAAATCGGTCGGTCTGAACGCAAGTTACAACCGGCAAGTCGGTCGGACTAAAAGAAAAAAAAAAAAAAAAATTGGGTCGGCCCTAAATTGACAGAGTCGGTCGGGTTACGGCAAACAAGAATATTTTTAAGGGTGGCCTTATCTGGTAATAGAGCTATAGGTGCATGTACCGAGCACAGAACTCACGGGTACATTGCGTTAGAGTGTTAGTGAGAGGGACAGCTGATCTTTGGGTGTGTGTTGTCCGCCTGTTAGCCCAAAGGCAGCTGGTGCGTTGCCAAGCACGAGGGGTTACACAGGCGCACAACAAACCCACTTACTAGGCATCTCAGTAATTCTGAGTGCTTTAATGAAAATACAAAGTTCAGCCTTAGGTCTATAAAAATATCACTGTATTGTGTGGTCTCATAACACATGCACACAAAACACACGCCTCATTTGAGACATAACCCTCCAGTGGGTCAGAGAACGTTGTGAGCTTTAAATGGGAAACGGCAGTCAAGGAGCAATCTGACTAAATCATTGGATGGAAAAGCCAAGGCTCATTTCATGGAGCGATAGCTTTTGGTAAACACCTTCACGTTAGTTGCCAGTAAAACAAGACAGGGAAATAAATAAAGCAATTTAGAGCAGAAATACAAAACAATTTTAAATAAACATGGAAAACAAATCAATATCAAACTCCGCTTCTGTAACGGTGTTGCAACCTTGACCAAAATGTAAATAGAAACTTTTGAAACATAGGTCTAGTCTCTGCCTCAAGCAAAATCATTAAAGGTGCAGTAGATATGTAAGAACATTTGTGTAGCTAATGGCAGGTAGCCTCGGCTGATTGATAGATGTAATCACAACTACAGAAATATGTGAACAAGGAGCCTTTTTCTCCACTGACAGCCAATATAAAATAGATATATCTTGGAAACCTTTCCCTGTTCCCTCCCTCTGACATCACAGCTCAAGCTTCGGAGGGACAGTTGCCAGTGAAACGCTTGGGAGTGTGCACGATCTTGCGGTGCCATCAACCAATCATTGTCACAATTTTCCTGTGGCTCCAGACCAGAGTCATTAGTCACGGCTCAAATCATTGGCTCAAAAAAGTGAGCACAGAACTGAGTGCCTTTAAGCAAAGATGGGAACATGCAACTAATAATCAACATGCTTGATTCTTGAAACATACAATTAAATGTGTGCAAACTGAATTATAAACCAGTAATAATTTTTTTTTATATATTCTGTGTAAATATATATATATATATATATATATATATATATATATATATATATATGCGTGTGTGTGTGTGTATTCTAAAAATAAAAACCGTGTAGAATTTTATACACTATAGTCAATATAATGCAATAAACCTTAATTTGACAAAATAACAAAATAATGTGCATGTAGCAGAAGGTAAAACATATAGACAATACATAATACACAAACAATATACTGTATAATGCACATTGCACAAATCACAGTTCATATCAAAGTAATCTACCTATGAAGAGTCCATTAAACCAACAGCCACCGGAAAAATGAATCTTAAAGAATTTATTTCACAAAAATAAGATGGCTTGTTTTTTTTTTATCTACTGATACAACTTGATAGAGGCAATCATAGTATGCCCTAGTGAATAACGTGACTTCAACATCAATAAACCTCCTTGGCTCAAAAAAAGATGCCAATTATGCTTCTTTCGGGTTTCCTTTTTATTTTCTGTGCTAGAAATAAAATTCCCACAAAATCTAAAAGTCAGCAACTAATATTACAATTTCCCCCTGAATAAGGACACAAATTGTTCCCTTAAAGACTCAATAGGTATTTTACTTTAAAGCGCATGCTTTTTAACTGGAGCCTCAGGCAAGGTGCTACAGAGGACAGAGAGGGCAAGAGAGAGAAAGAGAGAGAGAATTCACATTAAGTCACCATTCCTTCCGTATGGCAACCGCACCTTAGGGACAGTTATCACCTAGTGAACAATGGAAAGGCACTTCAAATAACCAAAGCGTGAAGTCTGATACAACTCAAAGATAATGTGCTCAGGATTTGTGAGTCTTTTTTTCCAGGTGCATCACTGTGTGGTGCAGACAGTCTATATGACTGATATAATGGCATGCTTTCAGTCTCACCCACTTGCTCAACATGGCCGGCCTGTACTTTCGCATCCCATTACTGACACCATGCCTGGAAGACCTGCCGTCCACAGTCAGCTGCACAGGGATAACGTTTCAGCCTCTTAATGCTACTAATAAGCATGTTCCCCTTCCAACAGAGTGTCAATACCCATCCACAAAGTCACCCTCCAGACTCTCCTTCTACAAGGAAACAGTGCACTCAATTATCCCCACCGCCATTTCCATGTCTTTTTGGAAACGGATATGGTGAGATATCACTTGGCAAAACATTCTCATTCCCAATGGCACATAACAAGTTGTCATCAACCACTGAACTGATTAGGGAAACACTGACCTTGCGAAATAACCGGTTTTACTTATACATCACATCCCAGAGAAGACAACAAGGCTTAATCAAGGCTTCCCAACAGCTAGTGATATAAACACAGGCCTGATTGTGTTTTAACAACCTCCATCCAAAGAGGCTGAGCTACAGTGTCAGTTTCAGATAGACTGCTTTGCTGGAACGCTTGTACAGTAATTAAATGATAATGAAGACTGGTGACTTCACAGACGCCATTAACCCTTTACATTTAAATAAATAAAAAGCTCAACACAGACTCACCCCGAACGAGAGGGACCATGTAATCATTTCATAATGTCAATCATTTAAAAACAAAAACACCCCACAGGCAAAGTTGTTGACAAACCAACAGGGCGACAAACCATCGAATCTGTACTTTAAGTCATTCCCAGACAGATATCTTAGTCAGTAGGTACTAATAGGGATTAAACCGTATTGGCTGTTTGAATCCATGCAGGCCTCATGTGGTTAATTATAACTCACTGATAATGTCTCCTCAAATCCCACTTGAAGCAGCCAAAATGAAGCATCGGGTAACCAGTCCGTTTTTATGTCTGGAATGAGTCTCCAGAGAAGCAAATAACACTTTTCCATTTACATTGGACTGAAGCCAATCCGTCAAAGATGGACATGCAGAAGATAAGCCACACTTTTGTTGCAATCACACACACAGAGTCCATTTTGAGTGCCTAATGGAAGCCATCACGTTACTACTAAATTGAACGGATGTGAAGAATGAAAAAGAAACACTATATTTACTGCACAGTTGCAAGCAACAGGTCTGGATTGTTTTCCTATGAAAATCAAACACTAAAATGCGTTTGTAGTTGAGCGTGGCTGTTTATTTAAAGATAATCTGTGTACCTACAGTACATTATAAACGTGCTTGCTTGTAAGTGTATTGCCCATAATGATTCAAATAGCATTTTTAAAACCACTTAGAAAAGTTTAACACCTACACGTTCATACATGACTTTCAGGGCAGTGTATGAATAAATGCTGTCTATTTTGCCTTCATCTCGAGCCTCAACGTCTTATTTACAGGGTGAATCTAGTAACAGTTCAAAAGCATTACCAGGTCACTGATTGCATCCACATCTGCATAAATCTCTTGTTTATGCTCTGGATCTTCATCATTTTTATACATCAACAAACCACTGACATGAAGCAAAAGTATAAAACAAAATTCTACATCATTCAAAACAAAACTATGGCCCAAAACACGGCTGATACATTTTCACTGAGAGCTTTTACATCTAGCATAAATAATGTGATTTGTAAAGGAAAACATGAGGCCTACATGAAAGGCTCAGGTTTGCTGACAAAATTACATGAATTAAATTCCACCACGGTCTTTTATACAATAAACACTGAGATGTTTGGGCTTTGTGCATCATTCTGAGCAGTTTATTCAAAATGACTGCTGCTTGCTGCAATATTGTCATGAAGATCGAGTGTATTCCCAATGAATCACTTCTTTCAATGCAAATCCACTGCCAGTGCCATCTAAATGTCGTTTAGTTATTAAGATACGCAGAGAACATGATCATTTCATTCCAGCTAATGGTGCTTTTCATGGAGAGGGAAATGGGCTTGGGATGCATTACCTTGTTTTTGATGTTGCAATGGCAGCAGACAGTCCACAGGTACTTGAGGGTTCTCCATAGGAGGATGATGAAGAGACCCCCGAAGAACGTCACCATGGATGAGGCAAGGAAAGCCCACCACATGCGCTGACCATTGTTGTCACAGGGAACGTCTGGTGAGAATGGAATGATCACGTCCATCTTCGATATAGAGACAGAAGAGTCCGGATTTTTATTAAAATTGAAAGTATTACTCATTCTAGAGCTGCTGCTGCCATAGGATCCGTTGCCATCTGCCACTAGCATTGAGAAGCTTTGGACAGCTCCTGCCAGCGCCCCCAACCCCAGCCATCAGCCATATTGCTTGAAATATCCCTCTCCTTTCTTCTTTCTGTTTTTCTATCCACGTCTGCTCAGTGTAAATAATATTGTTTGTGTGAGAAATACAGCAGCTTGGAGAGCGTGAGGAGAAATCGCGCGTCCGTTCCCCTCAGCGCGAGACATTTAAATCCGCATTAACGACGACTTCGTATTTTCATTTTAAAGGGTTTTCCTCGTCTTTTTCCATATCGTCTAAATAAAATGGAGTCTAGAACCAATATTCGTGTAGTCTCTGTTGTTATCAGTGAGAAAGCAGTGGATTCTTGAGAGAAAAGCGGACAAACGACTGTCTCTTCAGGCGGCTTGTGTACGTTCAAGCTCTCTGTCGTCCATCCAGTGACAGAGTCGCCTCAGTGGTGTCTAATCGATATTTCGCTCATAAACGACAACTTAATCAATGTCTCCAAAGCTATTCAGTTGGGAATCAAGCTGCTCTTTGTAGTCTTGCGAGGCTAGGTGGAATAACCCGTTCAAACATCGATATTTCGGCGACTAGCTATTCCGCTCTCAATGACACGTCGCTGTCCCCATTCACTTTCCTCAGCTGATCCAGGCAGTCCGTCAGATCTGCTCCACAGATTGTTGGGGAGATTTACAGGTAGGAGGGCGGGGCTAAACCGTTATAATAAAGATGACATAAAGATGATAGCATTTGTTATTAAACGTACAACATATTAGCAAACATCTTCATAACTAAGAAGGAAACAAATTGGAAAATAAACACCACACACATATTAATAATATTTACAAAACATAGGCTAATATTTTACACTAGACATACTTTTTCCATTCTTGATTTGTTTACGAGGCTGTATCAAAGAGATATGCTTACAAAAAGCCCAATAAGATGGAAATTATCACACTTGCAATCATGCTGTGTAATGAATATCATGGGGCTGTCTGTATCACAAAACACTCTTGCTAGTGTGAAAGCACTTCACTATATAACACTTCTGTAAACATTATAGTATATAATAGTAAATATATATATCATTTAACGTACCTTCAGATAAAACGTCCCATTAATGTGTATATTTTCTTCGCATCAAAGATGTGCGTGTTTCCAACGGGCTGTCTGCAAACCGGTCTGGAATCCCATATATGAGTGGAGCGGAGCAACAGATTCCGCTCCTACGCTCAAAACGTTCTGTCCTCGCTTCGCTTAACATCCATTACGTGTTTTACATTAGCCGCTCCGACAAACAAGTGAGGAAAACCAACAATGTAAACATACTACAGTTGGGACTTCCCAAAACTGATGCATAGTAAAATTACATAGATTTATATTTTAGAGCTGTGGGGGGACGTATTTCCCGGGCAATTGCATATTCCGTGCACGTGTGTACGTCGCTCGTATTACGTTTATTATTGTAATTACGCAGAATTCAGAATCGTGAGATAAATAGGCCTAAAATTCAAATTGTGGAATATAAAATCGTAAATGCGAAGAAAAATAAACAGAAAGAAACATAAACTCGAGTTAGAGTTAGCCAAATATATAAGTTATTGACCATTATTGTGATGTATGAAAAGTCACATTACCTTTTTTTTTTTCAAGTGGTAGAAACAAGCTTCCATGAAAAAGTCAACAGAGTAATCTTTAACTCAATCAAAATTATAACGTTTAATATGAATCAATAGCTACGTTTCTTGTCACATTTACAATATATATTTAACAGTCATTGTTATAATTGATTTGTTTTGTCGGGAAAAATGTGTGCAGTTTTTCCAGAATTTCATAAAACACACAAATGCTTTAGTTTTAAAGCATCTGAAAGCAAATTGTGGGCTAAGTTAGATCTTTAAATGAATTTATGTCGCTTTATTTGAGCATATGCTGCATTATTTAGGATATTTAGCAAGATGGTCTCGGGTCTTTGTGAAGAGAAGCATTTAAATCCTATACGATCAACAGCAGTGTGTCCTGTGCATTCAGATGTCACATGATGCTTCATTACACATCAGCCTGCTTATCCTTGTCATTTGGAAGTGATTTCATCATTGAGGTCTAAGCTGTTTCCCCAAAGGTCAAGGATAATAGATAAGCTTAGTAAATTATTGGGAACCTAGTATCAAGGTATAAATATTGATGGTAAAATGTAAATATATGTTGGGCTTTGTTGTTGTCTTTATTATTAGACAGATGACAAGCTAGACTTGCCTTTACTTCACAGGCTATGAAATAAGACCCTAAGACAAGTCACTTTCAAAATATAAACAAACATTAACGGAATGAGGTGTAAAGGAGATTTACAGACCTCTAAGATTTTTATGTTTGAGATTTACTGTCTGAGAGATGCTATTACTTGACCAAAATAGCAGCTGAAACATAATCTTCATAAATAGTTGTCAGATGGTGTATGCTGGTATATAGTCATATCACTTTTCTAAAATATTGTAACATATTTAAATGGATACATTTTAGGTTCAATTTAATCTTTTTTGTTACAACTTTGACTTTACCCTGTAGTGAGTATGGGTCCAGATGTACAACGAAGAGCTTTCCAAAAACTATTGAGCCATTCATTTGTTTTTAAAAAGACATAATGTATCAGTGGATAATGTTAACATGTCAATGTTAGTGAGTTTTCAAACAGTATCTGTTACTCTGGACAACAATGAAAGTGCAAGTTTAGTGTAAAAACAGCCTGGTGACTTATATTTGTACCTGCAGAAACATGGAAATGGTTTCTCAATAGGCTAGCTTTCTGTTCCAGGATTACCACATAACATTAAGACTGTTGCAACACCCAACCCTGAGTGTCACTCAATACCCCTGGGTGACATGTGACACAAAATCATATTACTGGCGGGAAATAAATCAATCAAATCATTTATTTTCTCTCAATATTTCTTTGTTTGTGTGCATTCCTTCTTCAGTCTATCGTGTGTTGGTGTCTTTTTACTGGTTTTCCATCACACAGCCCTCTGTCCTGGTAGGCCACCAGTTGGTAGGGCCTGGATCTTGCAGACCAGGCTTCAGTGGTGTTATTTATGGAGGGCAATAGGATCCACGATTGGTCATCTTCCTGGAAAACGTGCCCAGCTGTCAGCTTAGAGGGCTAAAGAACCGGTTCCTGCAAGAGCCGCGTCAAAGAACGGCATAGCTGACAGATGCAAAGCTTAGTTGAGCAGGAGTATTATTCAGATGGAACACTTTCACAAATGCTGCGTTTGCATGGTCGACCACATCGATTAGTTCTAGCACTCAGACCTAGTACTAGTTCTCAAGTTCAGAAAAGCGGTCAGCAGCTGTCTGGAAACAGATACCCCAGCAGGAGACTCGACCCTTTCTAAAAGAAGAGGAAGGGGACTTGAAGGACGTGTTGCTTTCGGGGTGAAGCCGAAAAGGCATTCTTAGGGCTTCCCGTGGCTGAGAATGGTTTGGAGAGGGAGCCGAGGACAAGAAGTCAGCACGATCCAAATGAGGACACATGCTCGGGGGAGGAGCTTCAGTTCTCACGACTGAACTGCAATAATCAGTGCTGGCATGGCCGAGGGCATCTTCAGAGCTACGCAAATCCCTTACTAAGGAAATGTGCTGTGGGACAGACTCTGACCTCTCTGTCAGGAGGATGTTTGCTAGGGCTTACCTGATGACTCCTCTTTATTGTGTAAACGCCAGCTGAAAACGAGGAGGAATGTGTCTAGGAGCGCACTATTATTCAATGCATCTTTAAAGCAGCCTTTTATGATAATTAAGTCTTTTTTTCAAGCTTGTTTCACAAATAATTAATGTGCAAGTGGCAGCCTTTGCTGCAGATATGTAAATTTATGCAATGTAGTAAGCACTTCAGATGTGAAGTTTTGGAATATTGGATCCTAATGGACAGTTGAGACAAAATGATTTAAATAGGTAAAATGACAAAGAACAGTTCACACACACACACACACACACACTCAAACAAAAACAGGAAATTATATATTTTAAAATATTGTGCACTATTTTACAGTAAGGTTCATATTGTCAATATTAACCCTTATGCTGCATTAGGGACATTTTTGCAGTTTAATTTCTTTGACCATTTTGGCTGTTTTAATGCAAATGGTATGAAATTTGGCAAAATTGTGACTTTTTGGACATGTAAAAAATGTGATCCCATTTTGCAAAATATGTATAACACACACTGTGTAGATCAAATAGTAACACTCAGCACCATAAAGACCAAAAATGGCCCATTGAAACCCATTAAAACGTTGTTTAAATCTGAGGCTGTCAGTAATACATGAAACATGATTTTTGCACAAACATCCTTTCATTTTGAAGCAAAAGCATTATATTTGCATTATATAGTGTATTCCACCAGATGACGTCACATATTTATTCCCTATGGGTGGAAATGCACCTTATTTTAGGCAATAGGCAATGTTTAATAGGTGGCCATTCTAACGCGCTAAGTGGGATTTTTTGCAAAGTGGGACTGTGATAATCCAAATCTAAAGTTTTCTCTTTGCATTTAGTTTATTGAAAATAATAGAATTTTTGTGTTTTTTCCTCTTATACAAATCGATGGTTTCGCAAACAAAACTGGTAATTAAAGGGTTAAAATCCTGAAATTGAATACATTTTTGGTAGTTATGATGAGGACTGATGCTGGTTAAAAGATTTAACTTGGTAAAAGTGGAAAATAATAATAATATATATAATATTTTAGGCAATGTTTAATATGTGGCCATTTTTGGTCCTTAATGCACTCAACGGTGTTAAAAATCGAATGCAGCACAAGGGTTAATTCACTATGAACTTTAAGAATTTATGAATATAACAATGTTGATTATAATTCTAACTTTCTTGAAATGTTAAAAATGTATGTGGAAATTAAATTATCTATCTATATATCCATCTATCTATCCATCCATCCATCCATCCATCCAAACATTTATCAATATTCCATCCATCCGTCTATATCATCAATACATCTCCTATCCATTCATTATCCTGCTCATCCATCCATCAATCATCCATTTACCATATATTGATATAACTATCATTCATTCATCCAAACATTTATCAATCATCCATCCATATATTTTCCATCCATCTGTCTATATCTATATCATCAATACATCTCCTATCCATCCATCATCTGTCATCCATCCATCTATCATCCATCTACCATGTATTGTTATATCCATAATTCATTCATCCAAACATTTATCAATCATCCATCCATCTAATATCCATCTCATCCATCCATCATCTATCATCCATCCATCTACCATGTATTGATATATCTATCATTCATTCATCCAAACATTTATCAATCATCCATCCATATATCTTCGATCCATCCATCTATATCTATATCATACAAACATTTATCAACCATCCATCCATCCATCCATCCATCCATCCATCTATATCATGTATACATCCGTTTAAATATATGTCCATTTCTGTCACCTATGTCTATCTACATTATGTCTATCATTTATCTATTTATCTACATCTGTCTACATTTCCACTTGTATCTGAATCTGTCTATCTACAGGTCTCTCGAATCAAGAGAATTTCAGATAGACATACATTACTAACTACAGACCCTTTGACCAGTGCTTTTCATCAAAGCGTAGAAGTTCAAATGACAGTACTGTAGTGGTCTCCTCAGTCAGCTGATGGTCTGACTGGACATTTTTCAATATTATTTTTGGGAGGAAACATCATTTTGTCAGTGTCTCATCACGTCATTCAGAATCAGGTTGAACCGCACCTCAAAGTGCAGCTGACAGCTGTACAGACGCAAGTATTGTTTGGGAGCTCACCTTAGTTCCAGTAATTAACACCACATCTTCCCCATGGTTAGACGCAGTGCATCAGCTTCAAGGAGGAGCAACAAATAAGACGGCTCCGCTCTCAATTACAGCGCACGTCAATCTGCCGGCGCTGTACAACACCCTTAATATGACGGAGATCTCAGCCCGCAGTCAGATGAACATGCCATTCAATCAAACACACACCATCTTCATTCATTTAATCACATTGTGTGGTACAGAAAACAACTTTTATTCTCGCATTAATGACGTCTCCATACAAATCACATTCTTTTAGAATAAAAGAAATCCTGATGGAAACAGTACCTGTGTTCTAATCGTTCTAAATACTCTGTGGTGATGATGAATCCCTCGTGTAAAACCATACGCTAGCTATTCAGAAAAATAGTTAGACATTAGATTCACTTCGACAAAATGCCTAATTTCAACCCGATGGACTGATATCTTGCTTCGAAAAGAAAACTGTGCAATAAGAAATCCCTTTTTTATGCAGTGTTTCTCTTTTTCTTTAAAAAAAAAAGGCAGTTAATGAAATGTACGGAACAGGAGTGATACACATTACAGTAAAAATTACCTATTTCCATTCTACTGGAAACCTACGAACAGTCATTTGTTTAGGGTTCAGAACATTGGAAGTGCAAAACAGAAAAACAAAAGAAAAAGTACATGTTTTTGGCACAACATGAATGGGGCTACTGGTCGGCATGAGACATAACACGCCTCTTGAATAAAAAATAAAAAAATTAAATAGCAACGAAAAGCCACTAACATTTCAACAGATTTAAGAAAACAATTTCAGGTTTACCCTGCAACATTTCTTTCTGTGATGCTTTTTTTTTTTTTAGTGTGTAGTACATATAAAAGTGACTGACAAACATACGCAAACAGAAACATGTGCATTCGCTCTCGACTCACACACACGCAAACATGCTAATATTTGCTAAGAAGTGACCGCTTCGTCACGCTCCCCTAGGCCTATAGCCTAGTAAAAATACAGTAAATAGATTTCTATATATTTCGTTAAATTGCATACATACGCATACGTGTACAAGTGTTACGTGGGATATTCTCTTTAAATATAAGCTCTGCTATAAGAAAGCTCCGAGATCTCATAGTACACAGTGGTCTGTCTAGCCCTGGAGTGCAATCTGAGAAGTTTTACTGTTTAAATACCAGGCTTTCACCTCATGCCATTGTCATACGCTCAGTAGATCTCCAAAGGCACTTCCATTTGGCCCGTAGAAACCGCTTAGCTGCTGTCTGTCTCAGCTTGATAGATAAGCACTACGATTCAAAGCAACGCTCACTCACATCTACACAACAAACTTGGCCACGAATGACTCTTAAAGCACGAGACGAGGATTCAGTCCTTGAGCTGATATGTGGGACATGGGAGGGTGTCGCGCATACGTTTTGGTACTGCGTATGGGCGGGGGGGGATATTCACTGACTGATTGCTCTGTAAACGAGTGTCTTAAATGCAGCATTGCTAAAACTGTACATGTCTGTCAGGAAGACCAAAGGAAATGAACAAATACTTCAGTGCTATCATTCTGCTTCCGCATGCGCACACACACACACACACAAACACATATACAAATAAGAGTTACAATTAATAACATAATAAAAATGAATATTGACCCTAAAAAAAAGAATCACTATTTCAACATGACGCATGTAACGTTAGTGTACCTTTGAGTGTGTTGTGTATAAAGTCTAGTGTTTGTGAGTCTCTACGGAGAGCCCAGCGGCGTCCACAGAACTTTGCTCTGTTCCTGATCCACAATAGTCACGATCTGAGTGCAAATGTAAGGGAAGGTGCCTCCTTGAACAATACCTGCCAGGAAACATACAAAAACAGTGAATCTTTGGTTGTTGTTTTTTTTTTACAATGCCAGTCAAATATTTGGACTTAGCTGAATGTTCGCTATTATTAATATTACCCACATTATAAAAATTTAAACTCAACTGGAGTATGGGACCCCATCCCTAAAATAAAAAGGTGATGTAAAACGCATTTTATGACTTGTATGAGAAAGATACCAAGTAATATTATAAAGACAACATGTTTCTGAAATTAATTAACTGGCCTTTATATTGTCCTGTAAGTTCACAGCACAACTGAAAATAACAACATTCAATTTGTTTTCACAAAACTACACAGCCATTCAAAAGTTTAGGGTTGATACGATTTTTAATAAAAACATTTTTTTTCTTATCATTACCAAAGCTATTTTTTTTGTGTGTGATGAAAAGAACAGTAAAAATAACTTTTCTATTTGAATATATTTTAGTAATTTATTCCTGTTATGCGTCATGAGATGCTTCAGAAATCATTCTAATTTGTTTTCTTATTATTAGCACAGTTGTGCTGCTTAATATTTTTTTGTGGAAACCGATTTTTTTTTTTCTGGACTCTGATGAATAGAACATTTCAGAGATTTTTTTTTTTTTTTTCAACAATGTAAATTCCTTTGTCACTTTTAAACAATTGAATGCATTTTTGGTAAATAAAATGTAACAATATTTTCTAAAAAAAAATATTACTGACACCAAACTCGTGAACAGTAGTGTCTATACAGATTATTTTTTATTTTTATATTATTTTTTACAATAAAATAGTAAATTATATTAAATTGTATTATTAGTAATATTGTCTATATATGTGAAGACCTCCGTTGCAAAAGCCACCCCTGTCACAAATGAGTATACGCTCATCACATACTTTCACTTCAGACTCACTAAATCCCAGCCACAGCCCAATCAGAAATGGCGGTACTTGGGTAGAAATAATTTAAACAAAGACTTTAGACGGACTTAGAGGCTTTTGCATCTTAAGTTTTCATATATATATTTGAAATATATATATATATAAAGTACTATTTGGTTAAATGTAAAACACAAAACAAACCTGTGAAAAATTTGCTATACTCCTGCTCTATCTTTTGTGCAACCTCAAACTGCTCCTTGGAATGTTTTTGAGAGACTTTATCCCGCAGATAAACCGGATCTTTTTGCTCTCTACATGGGGAGACAGAAACAGTCATTCACACATAATGACATTACAAGATTAAACTGGCACAATGACATTGTTCTTTTGAGACAAACATGGTTTAAGCTGCAACATTTTGACCAGGTGATTGTACATAATAATAAAAACGTGTAAAATGAAGACATGAGCTGTTTATCACTAAGACTCAGTAAAAGTGTGCAGTTCCCTTGAGAAGTAGATTCCTGCAGGGCAAAACAACTAAACACCGAACATGTACACACACTGCTGTGACAGGTGTCGTCTCGTCTGTGTGTGTTAGGGGTGGGCAATAAAGGTAAAATAAATAAGTCAAATAAAACAGTTTTCTAGTTTAAAAAAACAGTCTGTGAGTGTGTGGGGATGGGAAACATAGCTAAAAATAAATATAAATAAAACTATATATATATTTGAAGTTTTAGCATGGGGGAACTTTATTAAAAAAACATTAATATTTAATTGTTATAACATATCAAATATAATAAAATAAAATAAACAAATATATCATGAATTTTTAGAAAGCCTGAGTTTCAAGAAAAGCAAGAGCCTCTTAAGCCACTGTACATGACGTGATGGCACGATCTTGAGTGCAGTACTGATTAACTCGGGTTGCCTTTATATTAAGTAGGTGCTAGTCGGCAGGTCAAAGACGCCCTGCATTAATCCCCATAGTGATCGAATGAAGGCTTGCTTTTATAATCCTTCTGGGAAATCACCAATTTAAAAAACCCCTGTTGGGATGACTTTGCACTATTAGCGCTCAGACAACTTCGCACAAAGCGCTGAAAAAACCTAAAGGCACAGTTGTGCAGCACTATCAGGAGAATAAAGCAGGGATTTATTGTTCTTTTAAGTCTCACACCCCTAGAGAGCTATCAGTACAGTATGCTGCGAACCCGTGATATGCATATTAAGGGTCTAGAGTCGGCTTTAATTTCGCCTGTCTGATAAACCAGGCTAGGGATCTCGCAAAGCGGTCTTCAGAGGACAACCTTGAGCATAAGCGAAGGAGAGAGACACAGACCGAAAGAGTGAAGCGGCTGCCTACACCGTCATATATCTTGTCCTATTTCTGTGTAACGTTATGGTAAAAGTGAGCCAAGTTATTCATCCATTTAACAGCAGTTCTTCCAAGTCAAAATCAGCCTACACAGTAAAACTGCTTTCCTTTCCCCAAATGTCTCTGGGGCCCTGAGGGAAAGAGCGCACAGGAACTTATTGGTGTACAAATGTGCGAGGAGGGCCTTAAACAGAGACTGTGTGTGTTTTTGGAAGGGTTTGCAAGGACACCCAAGAGCTCAGCTGAGTCTTAACTCGCTGAAATATTCGTACCCACTGCATTTATTACGAGATGTACGTGTGAAGAGGAGTGTGGACACTTACTTTATCTGCTTTGCGTTTTTGTAGCGAATGAAAATGACGATTGGGTAAATGTGAACGCTGTGAAGCCGTTCGATAGCGTGAGGTGCAATGTCAAGCAAACAGTGACAGTCCTACGAGAGAGAACGACACAGCACAGAACAGGTCTGAGTCATGTTACACACATACAGCATGAGCGACTGCAAACAGAAACAAGCTTACAGTCACTGACAGCAATCGTGAACAAGTAACATGAACCTCAATATCAATCTCTTGATATTAATCTACTTATTTATCAGATTGTGGTGGTATTATTTCAATTTAACATTACAAACAAATTACTGAGATGTAGAAATGGGGACAAACCTTTTCTGTGATCTCCTTGATCGAGGCAACAGTAGTCACATCAAAATGGCCACTCCTCCGCTTGTAGTCGATGAAAAGAAAGTCTTTCACCCCGCGCTCGATGGCCTGCTGAGAAGCCTTCATCACCTCTGGATGAGCAGAAAAAACAAAGGTCAGCGCACTCATATTCAACAGCACGATTAAGGCTGAACCAATGACATTTATCCATTACTGACATTGACCGTATACTCCATTAATAATACCAGTTTTTATGATACCAAAACTATTAAATGGCATTACCAGTGAAATTTTCTGTATCTCAATTTTAATTGAACTGAAAATACTCCTTTATATAGTTATAATATTACAAAATTAACCCCAAAAAAAGTTTGTTCACCCTGATATCGTTCCAAACCTGTAAAACTTTCGTTCATCTTCTGAACACAAATTAAGATCTTTTTGATGAATTCTGAATTCTGTCCAGCTTTTTGTTCATTGTGAAGATGAACAAAAGTCTTACAGGTTTGGAACGACATGAAGGTGAATAATTAAATGACAGAATTTTCGTTTTTGGTGAAAAAGTTTAGGTGAACATTTGACTATTCAATTAAATCAATTTGACACAAATTACCCAATTATATAATCTACTGGTACAAAATCATAAAGCAAAATCTGAAAATAAAAGACGAGTATGGATGCAGGATTTAAATAAAGACGTTTCATTAGATGAGTGGGGTACAATATGTTTAAAAGCACAAACTCAAACTATCAATACTCGTTTGAGACTCTTACAATATAACTGGATGATGAGAACTTACTTGGACTTTGGTTAAAAAACTTAATATCCACTTTGGCCCTTGAGAAGCTTACCGTACATATTTGATAAAAATAGGGAGATGACAAAAATAGGGAGATGTTCTTGAGATGTTAAAGGAGGACACATTGAAGAGGCTATAGATGTGTGAAGTTGTAGTATATGCCTAATGCATTACGGTATTATTATTTCATTTTTTTTACCAACTGCCAGGGTTATTGAGGAGGGGGAGGGATTTGAGTAAGTTATGCTTGTATTTAAGCGTATGTTACGCTCTTTTGATAAATGTGTTGAAAAATTCAATTAAAATATGTTCGCAAAACAATCTACTTCTTCCATTATTATTAATAGAGCATTTGACAGTGCAGTTGTTTATAAATGACAATGCAGAGTAATTTTTTTTTTTTGCTTAAAGAAATTGGGAAATTTGCTTGGAGAGTTGATCAGTTTATCTTTAAAGTTATAACAAACAGTAAAAAACATTTGGTCAACTAAAATTCCTGAAACAGCTCAAGTTATTATCTCTCTGAAAATGTTATGAGGATGTGTGTATTTGGTATCAGTCAGATGCAATTATTGTCAACCAGTACTGATGAATATCAATACCATAAATGTATAATTATATAAATCACAAAAGATCATTTTAACAGCATTCGCATTGAAGTTAAAAACTAATAGACATGTACCAAGCACACATCTGCTGAATTTCCCTGGAGATTCCTTGACCAGCATGTCTTTAACTGGATCCACCAGCGGGCCGAGGATCAGGACAGGTCTTGGAGACATGCAGTCAATCTTCTGCACTCTCTGATAGGCCAGGCTCACACAGTCTGAGCACACACCCCAAAAAACAATACAGAATCAACATCAGTTTCACCAAAATTCTCAGTTCAGCTGCACTGCATTATGGGATACTGAAGAGTCTCACCCTCTAAGAATGGAATAGAGTCTGTGCTGATCGCGTCCAAGGCTACCACGTCTTTCCCATCTTTGGAGCTGCTGCGTTTGTGCTTCTGTTTCCTGCGGAAGAAGGATCTGCGCGCGGCTGCGGACAGGGTCTTACTGGAGCCCGTCTCGTCCTTCAGTTCAGTCATACTGTGTCTGCGGTAGAACTCCTGATCCATCCTGCACCAGAACATAAGTTCAGGTTACAAAATGCCTTTCTGCAGTCTTCTGGACATTTGGATTCAGTTGCTTTTAACTAGAGGTTGAATTTAATCAATATAAACATCTAGAGAGCTAGTAAGTGTACATAATATTAATAATAATTCATTACATTTCTCGGCACTCAAAGCACTTTATATAGAAGGGGGAATCTCCTCAACTATCACCAATGTACAGCATCCACCTGGATGATGCGACGGCAGACATAATGCGGCATAACGCTCACTGCACACCAGTTTATTGGTGGAGAGGAGACAAAGTGATGGAGCCAATTGGTATATATATATATATATATATACACATGGGGATGATTCAGAGGCCATGATGGACAGAGGCCACTGGGCAAATTTGGCCAGGACGCCAGGGTTAAACAACTACTCTTTCGAAAGTGTATATGTACTCAAATATGTACTCAAAATTGCTGAAATTAAACACTAACATTAATCAATTTCTACCAATTATCCTAATGTCCATGTAGAAAACTAAAATATAAATTTGTATATTGATAGCATTAAAGTAATCTAAAATAATATATTTAGAAACAAAATCACCCAAGTGGGAATGGTTAATATCTTAAAAGAAATAATCCTAAAATTGGCATATACATAACACTTTACATAAAGCCTTTATGTATAATGAATTATAGCAGTCTTTTTAAAGCTTTAAATATGCCTTGTAATGCACCTTATAATGCATTGCATGGTCTTTATGTTATGCCTTTGGATTATGCATTTAAACTTTGATTACATTTATTTATGTAAAGACTTAATGATTTATAACATACATACATTATGAATACCTCAATAATGCATTACACATAAAGAAGACTTTAAAGGGATAGTTCACTTTGAAATTAATTTTTGGTATGTTTTAGCTTACCTCAAGGGCATCCAAGATGTAGGTGTCTTTGTTTCCACAGTATTTCAATTTTGATATTTTTAGGTCAAACCGTTCTTGTCCGTCAGTCATATAATGCAGGTCTATGGTCACCACCTCAAAGAGCATGCAAGTCCAAATTAAACATGATTTAATGACTCGTAAATGTAAATACACATTGATGGCCTAAGACACGAAACGAGCGGTTTGTGTGAGAAAACGAACAGTGTTTATATCGTTTTTATATCGCATGCTCTTTGAGGTGAACCCAGGTTGGACCCCATACACCTCCATTATATGACTGACAGACAAGAACGGTTTGACCTAAAAATATCAAAATTGAAAATGCTGTGGAAACAAAGACACCTACATCTTGGATGCCCTTGAGGTGAGCTATAACATACCAAAAATTCATTTCAAAGTGAACTACCCTTTTAAGTAAAGTGTTATCAAAACAACTTGTTTCTATTTTAATAAACTTAACGTCATTTAATAAACTTAATTGTCAGCATCATTACTCCAGTCTTCAGTGTCACATGAACAACTTCTGACCAATCTAACTTTTAACTTCTTGATTCAACAAAACTTTTTGACTTTTTTTAGACATTTAAAATTAGACTAACCGTGACTGATTCATCCTTTATAAGACACCATCATTTGATTGAGTCTAAGGATGGGACTCACATATATTTGCTAGGGATCTGCCCTCTTTGAATTTTTTGTGCATTTTCATCAAGTTGCCAGGCCATCCAGGTGCCAAAGTTGCCATTTGGTAGTGTGTCATCCACATAGAGAATGTCATCTTTCTTAAAAGAGAGGTCGAGCTCGGTCTCAGCCACTCGGTCATAAAGTGCTCTGCAAGAGAGAAAGCGAATGAATAATTCAACAAGTGACAGCATTATACATGAGGCAAAGACTGCGGTGCGGCATCTGCAAGAATGAGGTAATACGAGACAAATGAAAAGGGTGCGGGAGACAAAGGAAAAATAAGGGAAGGAAAGAACGAATGAAAAATTCAGGAAGAGGCCTGGACAGAACCGATCCTTCATTCCCCGGAGTCGCACGAAGCGGCTTTTAGCAGCCACCCATAACTCCTCGTTCCTGCCCATTCATGACATGCGGATTGACAAAGATTATTTACTGCGGGGTGACATCATGGGAGCACATGCAGAAAAAGCGCCTGCAACAGCTGCGGGCCACAGAATTTCATTTGCAAAGACCAACACGGCTATTTCTGAACAGCCCTTTTCCATTATTCTTTTTCCACCGCGCAGACACAATGCATCTCTGTCTCGAACCGTCTAATTACCACGGCTACTATTATAGAACACAAATTATTGAGATTTGGTGATATAATCTTCACCGCCAGATACAATATCTCACCCTCCATCTTAAACATAATTAAGGAGATTAAAAGATTCCCGTTGCTGCAGTTTTTTTCACATATCTATATTTAGAGCAGCATGCTGAAGGTTCAAACACTGGCATTTGGTTATAGGGAAATGGTAAGTGGCCATGTATGGTGATGATGTGTCAATGGCAGATTGAGAATGACTGTTGAGATCATGCTGTATCTTAGTGTTTTCCGTTTATTAACTAGACTCTTGCATCCCACCATAGTCTAATCTGTGCCGCCACAGTTTCACAATGAACCGAATATATTTAAAAACTTCTCATAACATAAAATGTCTCCAACGCTTCTTTAGTTCTGTAAACGAACTAAAAACGAAAAGACGATATGGCTTTGGATTAATCCTACTGATCATGTGATCAGCTCTTCTGCGTTTCAGATCGGCTCCGTTCACAGTGTAGTGAACACCAATGAATGCTGTAAACTCCCTCTATACAACGTACATTTAGGAACATAGAGGGCACCAGTTATGCATTATTTTCACATTAACATAATGTCCAACACTTGGAAGATGATTACAGCATTTCACTTGATTTGTAATGAGACACGTTTCACAGAAACAGTAGCTTTCTGCCATAATAACAGCTCAACTGCAGTTTCCGTCAAAATAAAAGCTCAAGAGTTTATCTCTAGAAAGTAGAAATTAGGACAAAAGTATTGTAATTTCCCTACTGTAGCGTAAAGTAAAAATAATATACTTATAAAATATTCATTTTCATTTCATCCACAGTGCATTTATTTTCGATTACTGTCATAGGAATAATAAAATAATAATATAACATTATTATTTTCTAATTATTTGGCTATTTAAAACACCAGACTGAATGTAATATAGACACTATATTACTATAAAAAGTCCCCTTTAAAGTTCAGGTCATTTAAATGACTTGTTTATTTGTTCAATTTGCACACTGGACATGGGTTGGGGCTCTTATTTTTGAAGTGATTTATTTAACTTTTTTTTATTTACCTGATATAGAATCCATCTCCAGGAGTGTCTTTCACCTGTTTGAACTCATCCAGACGATTCTGTACTCTGAAAGTCACTGTTTCCACAGGCTTCAGCATCTCCAGGTACGCCTCCTCCACCGTCTTATTCTTCATATTAACTGAGCCATACTGGATGAACAAACAACATTAAAAAAGGGTGTAATCACTTTTCGTTTAAACATCCAATTTCATGTCAAAAATATAACTGTACACTTTGTCAACTTCTCAAAGTTTTAGAACTTCTCTGTCCACTGTGCCTGAATTATTTTAATACAGGTAAAAAATAAAATAAAATAATAAAAACACATGCATGCATCATTTTTAAGGTTTCCTGATCGATTTCCATTCCAGAACTAATATACTGTAAACAAGAAGACTTTGCGTTTTCTTAGTGAAGCAAATGAGTGTGCAATAATGTGGCTGACACGGGTCTGAATATGTCCATGCCAAGAATGGGATATTACCAATTTCACGCAATATATGAGAAAGCAAAGAAGTGATCAATAAAAACAATAGTTAGGAATGCATCATACTGACATCTGAATCAGAGGAAAACAATACAGTCAGTGGATGAGGCTGGAATGCACCCTATAGCAAGTAGAATGACATTACACACACAAACTCAAAATAATTTCATTTTATTCTATAACATAAAATACATAAGTAATACCCCACTCATGCTTTTTACAAGCTTTTATGTAAATGGGACTACAGAGGCTGTCAGGAACATTAAACATCACACCAAACAGGAAACTAGTCCGCTTTTAAGCCTGTGACAGACCAAACCTCGGCTCACGTTGTGCATTTAGGACAAAACATTGTGCTTGAACACCAAGCAAAGACTACAGCCAATGGCCAACTAGCAAGTACGTTTTGTACGTGAGTGAGAGGAATAACTGTCTACATCAGCAGTTGGCAGGAGTATGTTCGTCAGTAAAAAAAAAAAAAATTAGGACAGCGGATATACAAATCATAAAAATGCTTGCTTACCATTTTATATGTGAATCAGGTTGATCACTTTCTTCATTTCAGATGACCATGTCGTTATTAAAATATTCACGTATCGAAAACCTCAGGTAAGACGTCAAAACTAGAAAAGCCTTCTCTGTGTGCCCTCTGACTTCATTGTTTATATGCTTTCATCACTGAACTGAAGAGCCAATCAGAGTTCACTCTCTCACCAACTGATGCAGGTTCAATGTGCTCAATCAGCCAAAAAGCCGCTAACGGGGTCCGACTTGTGCTGACGGTGAAGAACACACTGCAAAAACTAAGCTGACAGACGCAGACGTTGGTCTATCACAGCCTTGTCACGTTTATATTCTCGCTCTTGCAAAATGTTCAAACTTTCAAACTTGTAAAATTTTAATAAAGACTAAAAGAGTAGTCAGAAGCATATATGTTATCATGAATCATGATAATCAAACTTTTGTTGGTCAAAGAGCTTATTTTCCAAAACCAATGAGAAAATCGTATTGGCTTTTGTTGAGGGTGAAATATATCATCACTGCAGCACTACATGGAGTAAAGATTCATGTTCAGCTTTAGTTAAAAGTCTAACTGCACCAGTGCCAATGCTAAGATGACTCCAGGAACCTATTTGTCTTGACTCTTGATTGTAATGGCAGCAGACAGGGCTGTTGCTAAAAGTGTATAAGTCCATTCGTAAAGCATCTATCACCCCAAAAAAAATATTTACTTGTCTTGCAAAGAACTGCTGTCTCACCATTTCTGTTCCCAGTAGTCCCCAAAAAGCTTTACACAGACAGAGAAGTTGCTCCATTTACCTCGAGCAGCATGTCCCCAGGAACGAGCCCATCTGCTCCTCTGGCAGGACTGTCCTCCTCCAGCCTCTCCACAAAGATCCCCTGCAGGTTTCCTCCGCACAACTGAACGCCCAGCTCCACCTGAGTCTTCCTCACTGTTACCAAGCGAGGCTCTGGAACCTTCTTGGAACTCTCTGAAGAAATTCTGAATATTCAAGAGAGATACAGAATCAGACTGGTCACCCAAAGTCAGTGGATTTCATGTTTGTGCAACCCTGGCAGCTCCAAAAGGAATTTTGCTTCCTTTTAAGAAAAGATGTACCTAACATGTTGATTTTTTTTTATTATTATTATCAATGTTGAAAACATTTGAACCATGATCATTTGTTTGGGAAACTTTGATGAATAGAAAGTTAAAGAGAAAAGCATTTATTTGAAATATTATAAAATTTTAAAATGTCTTTACAGTCACTTTTCATCAGTTAAATGAAAAATAATACAGTAGTACAGACCCCAAATATTTGAACGATACTGTATGTAGGCAGTGGACAGCATGATCTATGTATGTCTTTGTGCAGTACCTGATGAAGCTGTTGGGGCTGGTGGTGGGTGTCGTCTGTTTGGAGGATGGGGTGAGCGTGCCTTCATCCTGTTCACTCAAGGTGTCTATGGTGGAGTGGTTATCTGGGGTGGCGGCTCCACTTCCCTGCGGGGTGGACTGAGTGCTCACTGGCTCCAAGCGGGAACTACGGAACAACATTGCCAGGAATAAACCACACCTGCTTATGCAATGAAATCTGTATTCACCTGAGCAAAAATAAATGGGGAAAGGGCTGTACCTGGAGCGAGAGTGGTTGCCGAGCTGATACATGTGTGGGTTGTACTGGGCCATGATCGTGATGGTGTCACACTGCTGGCCAATGATGAGCCGTGCTTGCTGCTCAGTGGCATTGCGCAGATTTATCCCATTATACTGAGGGAAAGAAACCAAAATTAAAGTGAGCTACACAATGCATATTAGTATTTGACATGACTTTACTGATCAGAAAAAAAAAGAAAAAAAGGACATTGTTTTTTACTAATATTTTCATCATTTATCTGAACAGCAAAATAAGTCAAATGAAATATATATATATATATATATATATATATATACACACATTTAATATACATACAACACGATAAAATTGCATAGAATACAATAAGAATAAAGGTAATTAAATTTCTTAAAATAAAACTGCATAAAAATTAAAAATGTTAGTATTTGACATAACATGCAGCTTTACTGATCAGAAAAAAAGAAAAAAGGAAATTTTTTTTACTAATATTTTCATCATTTATTGGAACAGCAAATAGGTCAAATCATATATATATATATATATATATATATGTGCATAGAATAAAATAAGAATAAAGGTAATTAAAATTCCTAAAATAAAAATGGCTAAACTTAAAAATATAAAATGACAAATGTAACTGGATAATATTGCATAAAATAAAGTAAAAAGTACATAAAATAAAATGGTATACAATAAAATAGCAAAAAAAAAAAAAAGGTAAATAAAATGAAACAATGAATTAAAACAGCAAGTAAAGTAAACAATGCATTATATTCTGGGGTGTGATGGTCCTCAATGTGACATGTGAAATACGTAGAAATAAAAATACTACTTAAATATGTGGAATTCTCAAATTGGTCTGTATTTAAATTAAAATGGTCATGAATTTACATTCGCCATAAAAACATAAAAAGAAAAAATTAACCTTTAGGCAAACATCTTAAAGCCCATCTGGGTTATGGATGTCAAGTATTGATGTATACTAACCTCCAGTAGCTGGTCTCCATACTCCAGCCCAGCCTGGTGTGCGATGCTGCCCCCAGTCACCTTGGAGACAAAGATTCCACCATTCTCTCCACTCACGATGGAGATGCCGAGAGGCTCCGCCCCTTTGTGCACGATGACATTCCGTGGCTCTTCCAAGTATGGCCTGCCAGAGCGATAAAAGTGTGTGAATTTGAAGATCAGAGCTAATCAACATCTGAGACAGACTCTGGTCTGCAGGTCTTAGCCAGGGTAGGCAAAGGAGAACCATGCAGGTGGATGTAGAGCACGAGACATTCACTGAACGGCCAGTTTGGAGGACTAACTGCCAAACAGGCACAAAGACAGGATATAAAGCAGAGGGAGTGTGTGCATATAGGACTTCAATAAAAGATCCAGAAGGTTGTACACTCATTCTTCTAACCTACATTTTTAAATACAAAAGACTGATTTACTGCCCACACAAGTAAAAACCTGCCTTAAATGTTACAGCTCCAATTCCAGACAAAATATCAACGCTTCCCTGACAAGTATGCAACATTTCAAAAGAGATCTCTGTATCCCCCTGAGTAAAGAAATGATTGAAGCTGTTGTAATCATAGCCAGGTTTGATTTGTCAGACATAATAGTAAACCCTTACTGAAGCTTTAAATCACCTTTAGCGTTAGATTGATTGAGAAAATCTGGATCTTTTCGGAACGAGAGCAGCCAAACTATCATGCAAATCATAAATGTCTCTCCAATCCTGAACCATAAGCACTTAAGACATTTACTCAACAAAAAAAAAGAAGCTAAATCTGCTGTGTACAGATTTAACATTCATGAGGAATCTCTTGCTGAGCAGGTTAATCAAAAAAGTAAATTAGTAGCAGCAGGTAAAATTACCCAATAACACCAATTAAACTCCACTTTAAGGAAAATGTTGACAGATTCATAAACTTGATCCCCTCCGTGTAGTCGTATCAAAATGAAAAATCTTTCATCATTTACTCACCCTTATGTCATTATATATATATATTTTTTTTAATATATATATAAATAAATAAATACACACACATGCATGTATATTTAAGAAAAAAATATTATTTATATATAAAATATTTATATTTATATAGAATATAAATTATACATAAATCTATATACATGAAAATATTTCTTAAATATACAAGCATGTGTGTGTATTTCTATATATAAAATAATTATACACAGTGCACCCACATATATTATGTAAACACAAACTTTTATTTTGGACGCGATTAATCGCGATTAATCGTTTGACAGCCCTAAAAACAATTAATAATAATTTCTTTTTTTTTTATTTACGTATAAACGCGTTGATCAAAGACTTGGATTGAAGTGTTTGCACTTTCAATAGAGGTGCAAAAATCTCAGGTTTCACTAAAAAAATGATTTGCGATTAATGAAAGTTTAATCGGTTTGGTGAGTAAATGACAGAATTATCATTTATGGTGAACTAACCCTTTAAAATAAAACTTACTAAATAGGGACTCGCAAAACTACACATTTTCAAAATCAGCCTTTGGGTTGCTTGGGCAACTAGTTGACTAATTGGTCGGTCATTTGAAGTGTCATTCCAACTCCAACTCATTTTACTTCTGTAATTTGGCATTTCCATGTGGTAAATCTAATTATCGTAGCAGAACTAACACAAAGCCTGGGTTGTATACTAACAAAGCCTGGGTTGTATACCAACACAACACAAAGAAGCAAGGATTTCTACAGCCAACCACTTGGAACAAACAAGTACGTTTGTCAGGCATTCCCTGTGCGTAACTGGCAGGGAACAAACCTCAAGCTTCTGAGAGAGGAGAACCTAGGCCTAGCAGCCAGAGGGATTCTCAGAAAGGATCTGTTACGGTACAGAGATCTGAAAGATTCAGAGGAGCAAAGAAGACAGGAGACAAACAGATTGTGAAAGTGAGAGAGAGAGAGAAACACATACACAAGGGACTGTGGTGGAAGACAAATATTTAGAAGAGAATTATAATAAATGCATAAGAACAACTGGAATGAGTGACCTAGTTAACAAATCCCTGCTAAAATTCGATCAGCATTTTATACGATGGTGCAGATTAAAATAAAATCTCATGCAGTGACGGTGATATGAACGGCTGATCCTTCAACATACATTATTCTATATTGATGCACAGACCAATTATTCAAGTCAGATAAAAGGATTCTGAGCTTGGCGGGCTGCTGTACGTGGATAAGAGCGAGCTGTTGCTTGGCAACCCGATGAAGGGTCTGGGGAGGGAGGTGCGCAGCGGGAAGCGACTGAGGCAGCGGGAGTGTACCTGTCTTTTCTCCGCTCTCCAGTGGGTACAGGGCTGACGGAGATCCTGGGCAAGGTGGAGGTGGAGATGGAGCCCTGAGACTGGCTGGAGGCGAACGAGGACGTCTCGAGATTGAGAGGAGACAGGGGTGGGGTGATGAGACTGGGACTGCTGCATTCTGAATGAGACAGGGACCCTGATGAGCAACATGGATGAACAACAGTCAGCATGCGTAATCTAGACTACAGGGACAAAAGCTTGTTTTTACAGGAAACTATTTTGACAATAATCAATATAAATCTTTACATAATGTATCTGTATGGTATGTATTGGATTCAAAATGCTGAATGCAGTTAAAACAATGCAACAATAAATTACTCACAGGCAATAGTTTCATAATGTTTTGATGTAATTTTTAAAAATAAATACAGTAAATGTATAATGTTCTAATAAATGTCTAATGAATAAAAAAAATCTATCATGGTTCCCATTACACAGCGCAACCGTACTCAACACTGACAACAATAAGAAATGTTTCTTGAGCACATTAGAATGATTTGTGACACTGAAGACTGAAAATGCAGCCGTTTCTAACAAAAATTATGACACATATATTGCATTTTAAAATATATTTAAATAGAAAAAAGTTCTTTGAAATTTTAATATTTCAATATTGCTGTGTTTTCTGTGTATTTGATCAAATAAATGCAGCCTTAATGTGAGAATAAATGTTGGGGGGGGGTTCCAAAAAAAAAAAAAACCTGACCCAACGAAGTCATAAAACATGAAAATATTGTGAAATTATTTGAATGGCACGCTCTTCAAAGCTTAATAGGCAAATAAAATTCACAAAAATTTTGTGTAGTCTGAACTCGGCAATAAACTGTGTAAGATTCATCATTAAAGAAAAAAAATATCATATGCACTATGTTAAGTGTAGCCTCTTTGCCTCAGGTTATTTATTCAGGCTTCCAATATTTCAGTGTACGCAAATGTCAAGCTTGTTTGTGCAAAGTCTTCTCTACTTGACATGTTTTATTTGATAGAGCTTAGTCTGACATTTTAATTACCTCTCCTGTACCATATTGCTGCTAGTTGTGGTTATTAACAGTTTTACCAACTGCAGTGCGGAAGAAAAACACTGGATTAAAAATTGGATTAAAGACCTAAATTAATTTATTTAAGAAATATTTCTGAAATAATTCAACTTGCACAACGAGGTCAGCTGACCATTTACCAAACTACATGAAACATTTATTGCTGCAGTTTAGAAGATGAAAATGAATTAAAAGATGCTGGATTCATGGAAGGAGGCTCACCTCTGTCTGAGCCCAGTATGGAGCGAGGATAGCGCGGTGTGGAGGGAATCTTTATCCTTTCAGTGCGATATTGCAAGTTGTTTGATGAACCTTCAGGAAACCAAAGGGAGAAGATGATGATGATGAGATCACACTAAACACACACTACTTAAAATCAATGGATTAGTGTGTGAGGGGAATAGATGACATATATTATTAAAGACAGAGACTGACCGAGTCTAGCGCTGGATGGCAGGGAGTTGGTGCCGTGTGAGGCCCGGCTGCTACGGGACGACTCGGAGTAATCTGGGGTGCGTTTCTGGCTCAGGTCCAGACTTAGATGTCCTTGATGCTGAGGACTAAGATGGAGAGAAGAAAACTGAGCAGGCCAGATCAGCAAACACTGCTTTTGGGGAAAGGGAACAATTATTCTCTGGAGAAATAAAATAATTATTCTGTTTTTGACCTACAACAGCTCATTTTTACTTAGTATGACATAATAAAAGGTTTACATGGTTTAATGCAATTCATACAGTTTTTAGATGGATCACTGTGTGTCTTGTCAAACAAGACATGTTTCCTGAATCAAAAACTTTTGTTTGTCCTGGAACAATATTCTTGTCCAAAAACGAAAAGTCTTAACTCTATCCCTACCCTAAACCGAACCTTAACCATAACATAACCCTAAAATCAGATCTGAATTTGAATGGTGTAGAAGCCCCTAACCCTGGTTGTAAGCCTAACCTTGAGATTAACTGTAAACCAACCAAAATATGACTTGGTGAAATCACGTTCACTCTGTGACTCTGACCGAGTTGTCGTCATGTAGTCTCATGAACATAGTCTTCAGTAGAAGTACAGTACAGCGTGTGTGTGGATGTGTGCGTGGTCTCAGTGGAAACTGTGGTACCTGGGGTGTGTGTGCTGCTGATTGATCTGGCTGGTGACGGTAGGGCAGTTGTTAGTGTGAACTCTGTGACTGCGCACCATGTAAACAGGGTTCTTCATAACGGCTGTTATCGCAGGGCAGGGGGCCAGGCCTCGATGTGCTGAATCTGAAGTATAAACACAACCAAATAACCAATATTTTATATTCAAATAATTGTGGCTACTCCTCTCCTCACACCGTTGAGTCAAGAGTGAAATGCGTTAACCCTTCAGGTAAACACATTTTTCACTTTCAATAACTTTTGTATCAGGATTGAAAGCAGTGTTGAAGGCGTTTGATGCCCCTACTTTTACCTAAATGATCATGTTTAAATTTTCAGTTAATACAATGAAATGGGTTGAGCCTTATTTTACAACAAAGAAACAGTGCAATGTATATTTCAATTAGGGATGTGCAGCGATTAATCACATCCAAAATAAAAGTTTGTGTTTACATAATATATGTGTGTGTGTGGTGTGTGTAATTAATTTGTATACATAAATACACACACATGCATGTATATATATAAGAAATATTTGCATGTATATACTTTATATATATTTATACACAATTAATATTATATATAAATATTTGATATATTAATAACACATAATAATACATGCATGTGTGGGTATTTATATATACAAATTAATTATACACACTACACACACATATATTATGTAAACACAAACTTTTATTTCGGATGCGATTAATCGCATATAAATATACATATACATTTCCCAAAGAGACTGTTCCACAGGTGTTCCTCAGGGGTCTATATATAAACACACTTTTTTTTTAAACAGTACAGCTGAACTAATTTGTGTAAAACTTTACTTGTCGTCTTGTCATGCATCTTCAGTGTCCAGATTTAAGGAATCTTACATTTTTTTAAATATGAGGTATATCATTTTTAAATATGAGGTATATCATATATTAATCTAAAATGTGTACAGTTCCCATAAGAAAAAACATGGGAATTGTGCCATTAACTTCATGCAGCACCAAGAGGAGCCATTACACATTGATGTAATATGCCTCGCTTTGGCTTTTGCTTGTGTTCAGAATTGAATTCCACCTTCAAGTAAAGCCAGCTGCTCTTGGAGACAGATGAGCAAACGACAGGGAAGCCACTCTGGACAAAGCTTGAACATTCAAATCAAGTAAAAATAGACCTCATTATCGCACAAACCCCATGTGAACTGTATAGTCACATGACATGGGCATCAAGCAGCACCCATAGTGGTTTGTCCTGTTTCTACAAAAATCTACAGTCATGCAGTAATATATATTTATATATTACATTTTAAAATATATATTTAATTATTGAAAAATACTAGATTATATTACAATAATTAGCTAATTCATATTATAAACGTTTTACGTCTTTACATGAAACAAAGAAAAATTTAAATAATGTATGTTAATGCATTAAATGGGACAGAATTGACACGTTTCAGGGCTCAAAAATAAGGATGGCCTTATGCTGTGACAAAAGATTCAGAAAAAAGATAAATGCATAAAATTGTTGAGACCTGCATTCTCATACTAAGAGAAGAAATAGGCTTTGTTCAACAATCACGTTCATACATATTCAGCATGATTATCATAAATGAGCAATTCAATTACTCAGTACTGACTTCACTATAAAATGAAGTAAAAAACATTCATTTGTAGGACGCCATGATCAGAATAAAGATGAACTGAGAGCAAATGTAGATAGAGAGTATGTAGAAAGTGTTGTTAAAGAGATACATTGAAATGCACCATGGGTGGTTTGGGTTGTGACTAGGGCAAGTGTAACTCACTGGGAGGCAGGGTTCCATTATAGGCTGTAGGCACGAAACCCACACTGTGTCTATGAGGTCGGTTAGGAGAGGAACGCAGTATTTCCCTCTGCTCCAGAGAGTCACCATCGTTTGAATAACTCTGCCAAACACCCACACACACACACACAGCATTAGATAATTCAAAATACAATTCTTTAGAAAGTTATGAATGTTTCTACATATTATAGAATATCCTAAAAAATGGCTGGTTGGCTAATAAAAATAACATTTTTCACATCACATTCAAAATATTGATGTGGTTGCTACTATAATCACTATAAAGATATTTTCCTTACAAAAGCCCATCGCTTCGCTTCAGAAGGCATTTATTAACCCCCTGGAGTTGTATGGATTACTTCTGGATGGATGTGCTTTTTAGAGCTTCAAAAACTTGTGCACTATTCAATGCCATTACAAAGCTTAAAGGGATACTCCACCCAAAAATGAAAATGCTGTCATTGTTCACTCACCCTCAAGTTGTTGCAAACCTGTATGAGTTTCTTTTGTCTACTGAACACAAAGGAAGATATTTTGAAGAATGATTGGAACTTTGGCACTATTGACTTCCATAGTATTTTTTTTTCTCCTATGGAAATCAATGGTCCCAAACAACTTTTTGGCACCATTCGTTCTTCCAAGTATCTTACTTTGTGTTCAGCAGAAGAGAGAAACTTGAGGGTGAGTAAATGATGACAGAATTTTCATTTTTGGGTGGAGTATCCCTTTAAAAGAGCCAGTATATTGTTTAACATAACTCTGATTGCGTTCAGCTGAAAGAAGACATATACACCTAGGATGGATTGATCTTTGAAAATTATGGGATAGGTTTAATTTTTGGCTGAAATATTCCTGTAATACTACTTCTACTATGTTTTTGACTCAATATGTGTCATATACTAAAATGTATATTTTAGTAAGTGGAAAAAACTAGATTATATTACTATTATTAGCCAATTATAAGACCAGGTTAGTCTTCTGCATATTATCATCAACGTGTGTCAGCACTTCTAACGTTCTCTTCCCCTCTCTCTCTTTCTCTTTATTCCTGGTGCAGTGGGAGATCAATCTCAGGCTGCGAGGCTAATTAAAACAGAGCCAGCTGGCGGTGTCAAGCCCAGCGGATCTATAAATTCACCTGGAAGCTCTGGAGAGCAATGGTCTGAGGAGTCATCCTGCGCCTGAGGGCCGGGGCCGATTTGGGTCTTGGACGCTTCACTTCTGGTTCCTCCGGCCGCATCCGACCAATGTCCTCCTCGCAGGACTTCCTGGAGCTCAAGACCTTGCCCTCGCGCCCCACCTCGGTGAAGTACAGGTTCCCGTTGCGGTCCTCCTGCTTGGGATCGGGGATAGAGATCGTGGTGATGGTGGACTCTGAGGTGGAGCTTCCCTGATGTTTGTGCTTGAACTTGAAGGAGTCGCTTCGCGTGGGTGGGGTTGGAGGTGTAGGGGAGGAGTCCGCTTTCAAAGGTTGAGGCGAATGGTAGTCCGTCTTCGAGGTTGAATCTGGCCTTTTGAAGGCGTCGGCTTCAAAGATGGATTTCCTTTGCTTGGGTGACCTGTAGATGGAGAGTTGCGCCGGGCTGTCAGTTGACATGGAAACACCCACCACCATTTTAGGCCAAGTGCCACCACTGTGTTTCTTCTCTAAGGTGGTTTCCAGGGAAACGCATTCGGGGCCGACTGACTCGGAGCGGGTGTAGCAGACCTCCTGAAAGGCACTGCCGCTGTAGCGGGCCAGTCCCAGCTCTGAAGCGGGTCGGAGTGTGTTAGGGTGCAAGGTGGCGATTGGGTAGACCTTCCTTTCGGAATAACCACTCTCCTCCGTGTCAGTCCTGGTCCTTCTTCTCTCGCCGCCCGCGTCCCCGCTATAAATGTCCGTCTGAGTGGAACTGTTGTGTTTGAGGTTTCTGCTGTTTCGTGAATGAACATCTGACAGGTGGATTCTGCCGTTAGATTTTTCGGCCTCCCTCAGGCTCTCAAAGATGTTCTGCCCCGATGTGCTCCGAGGAAAGAACTGTTAATGGACAGGTTCAACGTGACTGGCATAGTTAAAACACCACAACATCAATAATACACACATTCAGAGGCACAGTACATAACCACAATACTGTTACTGTGGCTTATTTCATAAAAGGTCAGTTTTAGAGGCTACACTAGTAAGTTTGAGCAAACTCTGGATTTCTGGCTTTAAGAAAATGGATTGGTTTTAGTGATGTTCATTGCTGTGGTAACTTGCACTGCCTAGCGTGATATCTGAATAAAAGATTGCAAACCAAAACTGGCCTAATCGGATGCAAGCAAGATGACAAATGACATATAGATGATGCAATCAAGTCACTTCCGATTCACTCTCAACTTTTAAAATTGCTAAACTTCCATTTTCATTTAAACTCTTTAAGAACCTCATATGTGAATTATTAATTAAATACATTTAGTCGATTCACTTGTATTTAGTCTGATATTTTCTGCTCCCTTCTCAAACTTTAGTCCTGCCTTGTAGGAGATGCATTTAAACTCATGATATTTTTCAGAACGGTCTCTTAATCTTCAGAAGAAAAATGACATTGTGTCAACTCTCTAGGAAGACGTGAATCAAACTGAAGCTCTTCATACGTCATGTGATTGGCTGTCACACTTTCAGGTACACATGCTCTAGATTTTTTCTAAACTCTTAACCAACTCTGAAACTCAAGAGTTTGTTCAGCTAGCGTTGTGTAACAGGCCACAGGTCTGTTAGAGTTATTTCATCCACATTTACTCATTGCTAAGCTCCACCCCAATTCATGTTCTTCATGTTTCTTTGGGAATGAGGGAATTTGGGAATCCACAGAATTTGTTTAAAGTTAAAAAAAAACCTGTGTTTATGCTTTCAGGTAACCTTGTGTAACCATGTTTGAGAAATTACAGGTAAATACAAAAAAAAAGTATATTTGAAGAGTTCAGATGCAAAAGCCTCCAAGTGCCATTTGAAATTTTCTTCTAGACTGATGATTTTTATCAAGCTTGTATATTTAAGTTCAGTGATTTCACTTAAATTGCAATGATAATTACCTATTAATTGTTATTTAAGAGAAATTACTGAACTTAAATAAACAAGTTTGATAAAAATCATCATTAAAGAAGAAAATTTCAAATGGCATTTAGAGGCTTTTGCATCTGAACTCTTCATTTATAAAATTCAGTTTAAATGTTATCTTAATGGTTAGTATTGGGGTTAGAGGGGTTTTGTCAACTTTTTTCAAAGAAAAAAAATGGTTAGCATTGGTCGGTAACTGATTACTGAAAGCAGTAATGAGAACAACTACAAACTAGCCTATTTTCCAAACCTGACTTCCTCAGTAATGCTTCAGAGTTGGTATTCTAACTGCTGTCTCAAATACGACTTGGAATAAATGTCACGGCAGCACCTTGGCATGTGGTAATGAGAGCGGCGCACACGCTCAGACAGCAGTGAGAGAACAATCACCTTCATGAGGGAGAGAGCGAGCGAGTCCCTGCCGCCCCTCAGCAGAGCCTCACATTCACTCAGAGATTTGTTATCCAGAGCGATCCCATTTATCTAGGGAAGGAGAAATTTAGGTCAGCGCTTCACCAAAGAAAAGTGCCAGCAGACTTTTCAATCCTTCAGTTTTTCAAACTCAAAAAGAAATGACTTCGGAAACTTGAGAACAGAGACAATTGAAGCCTGGTGAATGAAAGGATGGAGAACTTTTAAGATCTCCAGTTCAGATAAACCCTTCCATCTTTTTAAACATAAAGGGATTGTTCACTCAGAAATACAAATTCTGTCATGGGTTTACTCACCATCAAGTTCTTCCAAACCTAAACCGACTGACTTTCTACTGTTATACAAAAGCAGAGAAATGTTGAAAGATTTGTACTAGTCATTTAATGATACTGTAAGGAAAAAAAAATAACCCTGGTATCAAAAAGTGGTCAGTGGTCAAAAAGTACTGAACTTGTTAATTATCAAAAACAGCTCTCAAATCAAATATGGTGCTATTAGACATCAGGTCAGCAACACAAAAGAACCAATCGTGTCCAATTTCAAAAGGCATTTATGTGATTTTGTAGTATATACAAATAATGTAGTACATTTGAGTACTAAACATAAGTGTTATTAGAGGACTTTTTATAGTCTATCAGTGTTATTGTTAACAAACTATTAAAATATATTTTGTTAATCGAAATAAAGAAAAATTAAACAATGAAAATTTTTAAATGTTGCCTTGAACTAAAACTCTTCCAAAACCATTTAGAAATATTTTTAAAACAAAACCTACTAAATGTCAAAAGCACATAAAATTACTAAAATCAAATTGTAAATTGAAAACAAAAATAAAAGCTAATTGAGAATTTTGAAGGAAAACTAACACTGGAAAAAATTATTGTTCCTCAATTTAAGCTATCACGATTAATTTTTAAGATTTGAAAATATTACACTAGTCATATGGCAAACTTTTTGGATACCTCTGTTGGTATTTTTGTGTCATTTTGAAGTTCACAAGTCCCCGTTTACTTCGATGAGTGTACTGGCTACCTTTTTCCATATAATTAAAGTTTGCTCATGTTTCCTAAATGGCAAACCATGCAGGTTTTGAACAATATGACTGCGAGTAAACCATGACGCAGTTTTCATTTTTGAGTGAACTATTATATATCATGACAAGATCCAGCAAATGTAGTAGCACTATTGATTGAGCCGTCTGACATGGCAGATACTGGAGCCAAAAGGTTACAGATATCAACTACCTAGTATCTAGCATGAGAGTTAAAGCAACACCTGATCTGTTCTCAGGATTAACATCTGTGTTACTTATCACCAGAGTGGCAGATATCGCTTAGCACATCACCTGTCTTATATTCAGGCATCTCCATTTAGGGAGTGGAGTGGATTTGATTGGCAATTCGTCTAATCAGCCCCCGTGCATTTAAGATAAGTAGGCTAACTGGATTAAAAATATGCTTCAGCTAGGAGATTGGATGAGAGCTAAGGTCAGACTTTTATAAGAGCAAAATGTATCCTTGACAGCAGCGATCTTCCTTCAATTTGAGAAAGGATCGCATTACTGCTTGATGACTTACGGCAATGAGGCGGTCTCCGATGGTAAGAGATCCCTCTCTGGCAGCTGGGCTGCCCGGTGCGATAGCAGCCACGTACACGCCACCCTCAAGAGTGATACCAGCGTCTGGGAGGGTGCAGACCAAAATTAAGGGTCATTAATAAGAAAATGAAGGAAATTAGCCATAGGAACGGTCAAATGAGTTGGGGGAGATGTGGGACGTTAAAGAGGTAAGTGATACCTTTGTGTCCGATGAGATTAATGTGGACAGGAGTAACCAGTCTTCCTCCTAAAGATTTTCTCCTCCGAACGACCATATTGATTAGCCCGCCTCCGTTAAGTACGGCTTTGATGACCTGCTTCCTGTCTTTGTGAGTCAGGTCCACATCATTTATCTTCAGAAGCCAATCATTCACCCTATTGAGAAAGAGGCACAGCCAGTCAGGACAAAGCTATAAGCAGGGAAATGGCTGTAGAATCATTCCAGAGGGCATTATCTGAAAAACACTCAATATCTGAATTCACCTCAATCTTCCATCCGCGATACTTCCTTTGTCCACCCTGGTCACAAATATCCCACAATCCCCTGGTAAATATGGATCATTCACCCCCTCTGCAATATCAAACCCCATTGCCTTCAAATCCATGTCCTCCTGTTGGGAGGATATTGATGGAGAGACAGATGAGACCGCTCCATATGGAGAAAGAAATAAACTAAAATGAAGGTAAAGTGATGTGAATGAGCATCCTAGAACCAAATAAAACAATTATAGGTTATACCTTTCTGACAAATGAATTTCCTTTGCAGGCATTTGTATTTGCTGTGTTAGTATTTTCCTCCCAGAGTTAAAAAGTAGGGTTTTACCGTTTTCGAAAATGGTAAAACCCAACTGTTTAACTCTGGGGGAGTTGTAAAATGAGCCTATTTCCAAAAAAAAGTGGATTATCCCTTTAAAGGAGTAGTTCGCTTTTCAAAAATCTTTTGCTGATAATTTACTCACCCCCATGTCATCCAAGATTTCCATGTCATTCTTTCTTCAGTCGAAAAGAAATTAAGCTTTTTGATGAAAACATTCCAGGATTTTTCTCCATATAATGGACTTCATTGGGAACCAAACGGTTCAAGGTCCAAAAGACAGTTTCAGTGCAAACTGTTCAAAGGGCTTTAAATGATTCCAGACGATGAATAAGGGTCTTATCATGCGAAACAATTGCTCATTTAAAAACAAAATAACAAAGTTGAAGTTTTATAATGCTCGCCTTGCTCTGTTCTGTGATGAGCGTTCGTGACTCTCCTGTTCGAACTCGTTCATCAGAATGAACAAATCTTTTTCCGAGTCAATTGGTTAATTTCATTCGTTGAATGAACCAAATGACATGAACAAGAGGATCACGAACAAGAGGTTTTTTAATCAAAAACCTTCATTTCTTTTTGACTGAAGAAAGAATGACATGGATATCTTGGATGACATGGGGGTGAGTAAATTATCAGCAGACGTTTTTAGAAAAGTGAGCTACTCCTTTAAGATACCTTCATCCCTTTTAGCTGTAGTGCTTTGGATTTCTGCATTCTTACCCGATCCTTCTCAAACTCCACCACCTCAGTCTCCCACTCTAATGAGTCTGTGTCTATGGCTGAATCATGGGAGCTGTGAACCATTAGATGGCAAAAACGCGCCTCCTTTTCCAACTGGCTCTCCATCTTCTCCCTTTGATGGTAGAGAGCACAAAACAAGACAGACTATTTTCTCTTCCATCTCTCCAAACAGTCATCTAATTCATCTCACGCCCACAAAAACCAACACAAAATACAAAGTCAAAAGTCAACAGTCTTTGCTAAGAACATCACTTTGTTTAAAAAGCTGCTGATGCAAGACTGGGAAAGCCTCTGTCCTACAGGCCATTTGGATAATACGGCTTGGCATCATGGTCTCTTATTGGCACAGTTTGTGCAATCTAGAAACACCTGTGCTAAATGGAGATGTTATAAAAGCAGCATCAAGGTCACACCTCAAAACTAGGTAGAACAAAACAGGATCAAGGAGTTGGGGAATACTGGCAAACTGTCACTATGATTCATAGACTCAGAGGGAGGAAAGCCTGGAGGGCATTAGTGACGTAAGAAAAGTCTAGTGCAAGAGGGTGGGGGTGCTCTGGAGTTTTAACCAGTGCCCCCTACTGAAGCAGGAATTTGATACGACGCATACCGCGTCCCAATTCATATTCTATCCGTCCTAAATAGTATTGGAAATTGAAATTGGAAATGTCCCAAATCGTAGCATGTTGAAATGAGTATTCAAAAGAGACCCGGATGGTCTTCTTTTTTGCGGTTAGAATCTAATGTGATCCGTGCACACTCTAAAGGCTAATATTGCCCACAACCCATTGCGCGTTGGACGAGGATTCGATTAATGCTACAAACACGAATAAAGTGTTAAACTACAAACTTGACGGATATGCGAATCCGAAGGTTAAAAGACAAGTTCGGCATTTTACAATTAAAGCCCTGGTTTAAGATCGTTTCTGATGAAATAGAATGGTTAAGATGGTTTTTTAGACAGATGCTGCTGTCCCGACAATTTTTAGTTTCTGTGGTTGCACCCCCACACCTCTACAATGGTAGCATAGGTGCACAGGAACAATCCTTCATAAAACGCATAAAACTTTAGTTTACAAAGACGTGAAACTCACCGAGTGGTCTGGGATATGCTTACACAAAAATCACTGCAAAAGATGCTTTCCAACAGGTTACCATAGTTTTTGTACAACTTCATTGTACTTGTATTGTATGTTCTGTGATGTACGGTATTACTTCGCCACCGGGAACGGAAATGGGGTTGTCTGTATTCTTTCTGTAGTCTTATGCAGTCGCGGTGTCGTAGGCTATACTATACAAGTGGTTTGCTTGCAATTGGCAAAGGTGCATTATCGCCACCAACTGGGCTGGAGTGTCTATTATTCAAGCTCTCAACGGAAGAATGTACGGTTGTGAGGCGTTCGGAAAAATAGGTCTACAGTTTTACAACGAATGGTAAAACACATATTGAAAAGCATCTTTTGCGGCGATTTTTGTCTGAGCATATCAGTGAACACCCCAAACCACTTGGTGAGCTTCAAGTCTTTGTAAACTAAAGTTTAATGCATTTTATGAGGGATTGTTCCTGTGCACCTATGCTACCATAGTAGAGGTGTGGGGGTGTAACCACAGAATCGAAAAAAAAAAAATTCTCGGGACAGCAGCATCTGTCTAAAAAACTATCTTTACCATTCTATTTCACCAGAAACGATCTTAAAACAGGGCTTTAATTGTAAGATTTAGATAAAGGGGTTTGAGTGATTAATTAGTATCTAACCTGACAAAAAGATCCTTAAATAATGTTATCCACATTATATTTAATCTGCAACAGCATTGTGCTCTTTTGTAAAGATACGTTTGGTCATTGCAATTTGCATAATGATACATTAAAAAAATGAAACACATGACTGGAAAAAAAAACCCACGACTGGAAGATCAACATGCTACTATATTTCTGTAAGAACGTGTAGGAAATTAAATTGAATGTGGAGGATTTTAACTGTGAAATGATGATAGACGGGGCAGTTTAAACAGTGACAGGATGCGTGTAACTAAGACCCCGTTTACACCTGGTATTAAAATGCGATCTGTATCCAGATAAGTTATCCGGATAATAAGTACTGATTCCATTTACACCTGGCCACATAAATGTGTTTTTGCAAAACGGATATAAATCCGATCTTCACCTCCTGCGTTATATGCAGATTTATTGGATTGCACGCCACCAAAAGCAACAGATCTGAGCGGCATTTTATTGATCATCAGCTAATTTCCAAATCAGAGACATCAATAAGAGAGAGTGGCAACAGGCCTGGTAAGATAATTTCGTTTCTTTACTTGAAGATGTGTTAACTGCGTCTGTGACTTACTTTCACTTTTATTTGCGATGTTTGCACGTTGAATAGACGCTCAGCTGCACATCAGTGGTGATGCGTGTCGCGTGTCGCATCTGACTAGGCTATAACATGACATATAGCCTATATAACACGCTGTCACTCGGTTATTTTTTAGCATTTTTGGGAGGAGTAAAATATATATGTGGTTTCAACAACCAGATTGCGTTTACACCTAGTAAAGATCCGGACACAATGCGAGCCAGACTACCTCCAGATGTGGTCAGGCAGATCCGATCACAACGCGTTTACACCTTGCATTAACATGCGTTTTTTATTATCTGGATAACTTATCTGGATACAGATCGCATTTTAATACCAGGTGTAAACGGGGTCTAAGTGAAAGAGCTGTCCGTTAAACATCCGCAGTTATGACGAAGAAGTATGTCCCAAAGCTTGCATACTATTCTGCTACACACTCAAAAGTGTTTACTTTTTCTTAGCAAAACCTATTTACCTTTTACCTATCAATTATTTATTTATTTAATGTTATTTTGCATTATTATATTATTTATTACTTTATTAATTTAAGCATTCATATTTATAAGAGGTTGGGTGTAAATGTAAATCAAATGCCTCATATTATCGGTCAAAAACTGACAGAGATTGGCAGAAAAGCAGGACTAAAAAGTGTTTACTTGAGCTCTTTAAGTTCCCTGGCCGCATCGTTCCGCTGTTTCCTCATGTCGTCAAGATTCCGCAGGGCATCAGCCAGATCGCTGACGGCACGGTCTCTCTCTCTGCGCAGGTTATCACATAACGTCCTGCCAAAACACAGCAAACACGCGCTCAGGGGTCAGCACCAACAGTTGCTTATTTTAGATAAACTCAATGTCAAACGGTACCGTATGCTCTCTCTCTCAGCAACAATCTTGTCTCTTTCCTGAAAGGCCCAATCTCTGCGACACTTGGCCACCTCTGCCTCCTGCACGGCCTCCTTCAGCTCCTGAGACATGGCCTCACACTGCTTCCTCAACACATCGATCTCCTTATTGGCACGCTCCATGTCCAGCGTGGCAGAGTCTTGTTTCTGTAGCAAAAACATCCATGATGAATATGACTGCAAGGTAATTTCATCCCCCAAATTAAGACATCTGTAAAGTCATATTAGTGAAATGAGTTATACAAGCTTCAACAGGGAGGTGAAAATAGCAACTTTGAGCCTAAGCTAGAGAGACCTCTAGTGGACTTGAACAGCACTGCTGCTTCAGCTTCAAGAGGCTGAATAAATCAGCTTTGGGGTTTTTCTACTGGAATAATCCAATGGCTCACAGCTTATGAGATTTTTATGAGCTTTGTGGTTTGAAGTGTTTGTTTCTGTGTGAATACTGGTGTGAAAAATCAAAACAGGCATGAACAAAGGTGAGGATGCCCCTTATTAGACATGTCTGCTCGTTGAACAGCAGATAACTGTGATGACAGCTGTTAAATATCTCTTATAAAAACATGAATCATAATGGTCAAATGCAATTTAAAATATCACACTAGTTTTTGAGTCATGGAGCAGCAGAAACACAAGTTACTCTGAATCTAATACATAATATATTAAAATGTGTTATAAGGGTGCTGATGCTACCGTTCATGAGTTTGGGTAACATATTAATGCTTTTGAAAGAAGTCTATTATACTCATCGAGTCTGCCTTTACTCAATCAAAAATACAGTAAAACAGTAAATTGTCAAATAATACTACAATTTAAAATAAGTGTTTTCTATGATATTATGTTTTAAAATGTAATTTATTCTTGTAACGCCAGTCTTCACTGTAAAATGATCCTTTAGAAATAATTTTAATACTCCAATTTTGGTATTTAAGAAACATTTATTATAATTATTAATGCTGAAACCAGTTGTGCTGCTTAATATTTTTTTGTGGATACCGTGATACCAAACTTTTGAATGGTAGATTACAATATTTATAGATTTCGACCATAGAAATAGTTTAGAAGTAAACGACTGTCAAACATAGAAACACTTCATTACGAATGTTGAATCTGAAGATTAGAGAGAGAGAAGAGAGAGATGGGGGCTAAGGCCCTGCGTGTGTGTGTGTGAATATGACAGTTGAGTTTCAAATTCATGAACATTTATTCAATGTAAGTCTATTAGATTTTTTAGCCTGCTTTTCCATCCCCTGTGTTGAACACATAGACTGTAAAAAATATGGACAAAGCTCCTGTGACGTCACCCATAGACTTTCTGAAGAAAAGTTTTAAGGCTGTTTATGGGGGGTATGGGTGGCGCCATATCGGAAAATCTTGGGAAATACAAAATACAAATGTTCAGAAAGGATACAGAGGTGGTATGATGTGTTGTGTCAGATCATGGCCGAGACGTCAAATTCCACACGTTATCAGCTGTCAATCAAAGTTAACCGCCCTTATTTGTCATACGTTTTACATCTAAATATGATCTAAACTAATGAGTCAGAAAAAAAAAAAAATCACCCCCCTCACAATTGTCAGGCACTCAGAAGCTATAGAAAAATACAATAAAAGTCCATGGGACCAACCTGTAAACGCATGAATTTATGCTGTGAAAACTAACATTTTAACATGGGGTCTATGGACATTTGCTCCGTTTTGGGACTTTTTGGTGGATTTTAGATGTATTGCAGTTTTTCGCACTTCCGGGTAGGCTTCATCTTTCAGATTAGAATGTTGCCGCTGTGTTGAACATCGTAGGTCCGATTACTTATAAAAGTAAGAGCACACCTGTCCTCAATAAGCCGGTCGATTTGACACCTCATTCATAGGTGTATAACAAACAATGCAGGACGAGTTACGGAAGCACCACTAAAAATAAATAACTTAACTATAAACAATTCCATGATTCATTTTTCTAATTTGTGAATCTTGTTCATAGGAATGGGGTAGGAGCTTGTAAGATTTTTTTCTTCATCCTACTCCTGTTGTTTTTTGTCATGGAATGTACTTTGTGTTGGTTGGATTTGTTAAATTGTTCTTGTGGTATTTCGTGTTGCATTACCATGAAAAGAGAATAGAAAAATAAATGAAAAAATGAAATGAAATTTTACTTTCATTTATCAGTCTTTTTAGGCCTGGAAAATTCCCTACATCTTCCAGGTTTTCCATAGAAGACGGGATGTAGCTTCAGAATATGAAATCCGTTTTCTAATAAATGTCATTAATGTGAGCATATGTTGCAAGCACCTGTCTGGCCTGATAGTATTCCCGGAGTAACTGGTCTCTCTGGATGATGGCTTCTGTTCTCTCTTTCCTGGCCACATCTCTTTCCTCCCGCACGGTCTCGATGTCTTTACAGGCCTGACTCAGCTCTTTCTGGGCCTCCGCTTTGTCCTTCACTTCATGGCAGTATTTTTCCAGCAGCTCGTTTCTCTCACAGATGGCACGGTCTCGATCCACCAGCGATGAATTTAGCTCCTACAAAAAGACACCAACGTCAGCGACAGTTATACGCTATTGATTTAAAGTGCTTTTTCAAAACGACATGTTATATTCACTGGCCACCTAACACAAACTTGGCAACAGAAAGGTGATTTACAGAACTGAGCATTTTATAACAAGGCCCATTCCAACTTCTTGAATACTGTATATGTACGGGATACAGCGACTGCTGACCGTAAAGATCAGGGTTTCCATCCACCTATTTGTGTGTGCATTTTAGGATATTATATTAAAAAAAGGGTAGTGCATAAGACTAACATGACACCTTCATAGTCATGACATATGTTATGAATTTGAAGTTTTATGCATGTTTGTGACAACTGTCATTAAGTGTAATTTGCTCAGTTATGACATTTTCAATGCCAAAATGACATTGTTTGAGATGTATTTTACACCTTGACATAAACCAATACAACCTAACCTGTCAGTGTCTTTGTCATGACACCTTGACATTACTAAGACAACACAACCGGTCATAAACATGACATAGCAGATTAATTATCAAACTTAAGAAACCACCTAGCTTTATTGGTTAAGATTACATTAAACTGTCATGTGGTTGGTTTTGACATTGGCTGTCATGAAGACATTATATCTTTTTAATGACAAATTCAATTTGTACCACTGTAGTTGAGGTCATGATTCATGACACAGTTATAATGGCCTCATGACAGCCAATGTCAAAGCCAACCACATGAGTTTAACTTAATTTTATGTCAAGTTGTCATGACAAAGACACTGACAGGTTATAATGTTGTGGTTTATGTCAAGATGTCATAACAACATCTTAAACAATATCATATTTGCATTCAAAGTTGTCATAAACATGCATAATCCCTACTTCATATTCAAGACGTGGTTGTGAAGATGTCATGTCAGTCTTATGCACACCCCTTCAAGTAGTGTTACCAAAAAACACTGAATGGAAAAGCCAAGATGCGCATAAATAAATAAAAAAATGTTCATACAAAACGAATACGATCAATGGAGGCAGATTGCTGTTATCCAATAAGATATCAAATAAATCCCTCAATGCGCATCTAATAATTAATGTGACTTTGCCTCAACAGTGGACGTGATTGGATAGCTAGACTAACCAGCAGACCAATTTCATTGCACGGCTTCTCAATTGATGATTTTGAAATGCCTGAGCCAAAGTCTGTCATCAGAATGATTTGAGATAATGACCTCCCAGAAGCGTCTCACACGACTGCATTCCCAAACATTAGGCATCCGACGCAAGATAACATGACAGTGTTTATTGCATTTCATCAGCACGCTCTGAGAAGCAAGTCATTTACGATGGAGGAAAAAAAGAGCGTCCCGATCGCAGCAATATCCATTTTTATAACAGATATTTTGCACTAATTTCCTAGGAAGTGACAATTTTATTCTCTTGAACACATGGGATGGAAACGCTGCTTTATTCGCAAATATTTATGACATTCTAACTTTGAATGGAAACATTGCTAATATGTTGTCTGGCATCAGTTATTATAGAGGTGTAACCTGTCGGAGAGCTTCCAGCTCCTCACTGGCCACCACCCTCTCAGAGGAGGTGTTTTTGAGCCGGGCTTCGGCCGCTTCCAGCTCCGTCTGCAGCTTGTCCACCTCTTTAATGACCTGGTCCCTCTCGCTCATGATCAGTCTGTATTCATTAAACACAGAATCCCGCTCCTCCTTGTACTTCTCTCCATCCTTCACCGCCTTCAGCTGGAAGTTCTTGTAGCGTGTCACCTCCGACTGAAGTCTCTCCATCTCTCTCTGCAGCTCCTTGTTCTGTGCTGAGGCCTTATTCAGCTCCTGCTGCACCGAGTCAAATCTGAAGGGGTTCAAATAAAACATGTCAATTAATTAGGAATTATTTTGATTAATGAATGATTTTATTATTATAATGCTTAAGTACCACTTTTATAAGTGGGGAATGTTAATTGATGAACTGAAACAAATCTTTTTCCGAGTCATTTGGTTCATTCAACGAATTGACTCGGAAAAAGATTCGTTCATTTTGATGAACGAGTTCGAACAGGAGAGTCACAGAACAAAACAGAGCAAGGCGAGCATTTGAGCTTATAAAACTTAAACTTTGTTATTTTTATTTTTTTTTAAATGAGCAATCGTTTCGCTTGATAAGACCCTTATTCATCGTCTGAAATCGTTTAAAGCCCTTTGAACAGTTTGCACTGTGCACTGCAACTGTCTTTTGGACCTTGAACCGTTTGGTTCCCATTGAAGTCCATTATATGGAGAAAAATGCTGGAATGTTTTCATTCAAAAACCTTAATTTCTTTTCGACTGAAGAAAGAAAGACATGGAAATCTTGGATGACATGGGGGTGAGTAAATTATCAGCAAACGTTTTTTGAAAAGTGAACTACTCCTTTAAGCATTTGCCTATTTAAATCCAAACAGTCACTTTCTGGGGGGCCGGGCAGTGTATTTTATGCAATGCCCGTCATTCCAACGCATTCTCATCATAGGGCGTCATATAATGATGCTTTTGAAATTACGTCTAAATCCAGGGCACATGGCACCCTTTGGCCTCAACACGCGGTGTAGGGTTAGACCACTAGGAGGCGCCTTCAGGCCCATAAATGTCTGCATCTCATTTTGACTCTAAAGAGTGCCATGTGCATTGGATGCAGACAAAATGTCAAAAGCATCAGTATATGACGCCTTGAGATGAGAACGAGCTGGTCGTTCACAACTTCTACTCATCCCTAAATCCTTGTGTGAATTTATTAAGCATTAATGCAAATCTGATTTTGCTTTCACCTGTTTAACATGTTTTACCACAATTCAATACATTCAGCACTTTTTGTCTCAAACTCACTAAAAATGTTTGTTTTTTTTAAAAGCGGTTGATGTATGACCTTTTTGATGTTATGAAAACTTCTACACATCCCTAAATCCTTGAGTGGGAATTTGTTAAATAATCAGACAAAGCTCGGTTTAACATATTTTACCATATTTCAATTCATTCCGCACTTCTTGCCTCAGACTCAAAGCAAAAAATGCTGCAGATTATGTTTGACATGACTGTAGTTAGAAAGTTGTGGGATGTATAATCTTTGAATTTACTTGTAGAGTGTTACGCAACACTTAAAGCAGATAGTGATGCTGCCCGTACCGTCTCATAGATGAAGACCACTGCTGTTGGTACTGTATAGCCGTGTCGCGCTGTTTAAGCAGAGCGTCTGTTTGTTTTTGCAAGCGCCTGTTCTCCTCCTCCACCTGCTCCAGTCGACTCAGATCAGTGTTGTGACTGGCCACCTTCTCACTGTATCTTTTACTCAAGACGTCATATTCCTTCTTCACCCCCTCCAGCTTGTCCATCGCTGTGTCGTAGAGCTTGTTTAAAACCTCTGATGACCCGTTCTCCCTGATTACCTGCATCAAAAAAAGGCTTTAATAAACCTGATTTACTGTGTGGTGGCAAAAAACAACAACATAAAAATACAAAAAATTATGAAATGAGATTAAAAAATAAAGGTTTAGCCATTTGAAACAACTTATTTGTACTAAAAAAAAAAAGAAAAGGGTATTATACGTGTTCTCGACTACTGTATATTGGCCAGTCCAAAAGATACTGTATTGATATTGATTTGCAGGCATTATGCAGTAATGTAAAATGGTCACGTGTCTAAACATAATAGCCTATTTTACAATGGTTTTGAATGTGGCTCATCATATCATATTTCAGAGTCTGAACTATCAATGTTAGAAATTTGCTTTTATCTTCGCTTGAATTAAACTTGCACAATGCAAACACCAGAGGGTGATCATGAGTCTATAATACACCTACTGTACTAGCATGCAAAATGCTGTCACTGCACTTATACACAAAAAGGCAACACTGCATTCAGTATTAAACAAACAGCATTTAGTTCCCTTGTTTAGTTATGCAAAATGCTGACCTATTAGAACACTATATGTCCTAATGACATAATCGAAGGCAATTCCCTGTCCGGCCAATAAACCCACACATCAGTGGGGCCTGACCAAGCCACAGAGGGATTGCATATGCCGAGTGATTGGCATCTTTATCTAACTCTCCTCTAGGCCATGTAATCAGTGCTTAGAGTATTGACTAACTGCAAAAGCCTCTGTCCTTCTCCATCAGTCAGGCAACACTTGACCTTCCAGGGTGACCTTTTCAAGCTAGCGGAGTGTGTTTTGTGTAGCCTGTGGGCAGCATAAGCACTGCTGACGGGTCAAAACACGCTTCAATCTGTGCGCTACAGAACAGATCCTTTGGCATGCCTGATGTGATAATTAAGACAAGCAGGAGATATCCTAATGCCCTGAACCTTTCCATTAGTTTTGTGGGTTTAATGCAGAAAGAAAGCCTGATGTAACAACCCGACAGGAAAAGGTTAATTCCTTCATGGCAGCAGCAGGGAGCAGACAGTGTGTTGACACGGTGGCATCTGATTGAATAATCCCCTGTCCCCTGGCTTCCGATTTATGTCAAGGTCAGATTTGGTTGCACTGCCATGGGATGCCCAGCCTTCGGATTTACAATATAAACGCTGCAGTTCATGATGCAACAGACGCACTAATCCCACAACAGTCTGCGCTGCGGGGGAACCACAAAATCTGCAATTTAATTAACCGTCCCTGGAGTTCTCCGAAATAACTCAGGGATCGATTTTGGCAGACTAACGTCACTTTCTGGCTGACGGCAGTACCATTAGGCCTGTTTCACACTGCAAGCGTAAGAAGCGCATATGTATTTTGGTGCCCGTATTAACAGGTTACATTCACACTGTGTGCATTAGCAGGACGCTGGCTGCTGCGAAGAAGCGGTTCTGAAAATAGAGTTTCACCACTGAGACCATTTCTGCCGCTTACAGCACCCTGAAGTAGAAAAGTTTGGGGTCCGTAAGATTTATTTATTATTTATAATAAATTCTTGTATTGCTCAAGGACATATCAAATTGACAGTAATGACCCAGAAAAGACTATTATAATCTTACTAGGGGCTGTCAAACGATAAATCGCATCCAAAATAAAAGTTTTTGTTTACATAATATATGTGGGTGCACTGTGTATAATTATTATTATATATATATATATATATAAATACACACACATGCTTGTATATGTTTAAGAAATATTTTCATGTATATACTGTAAATAGATGTATATATATTGCATATTATATATAAATAAATATTTTATATATAAATAATATTTTTTTCTTAAACATACATGCATGTGTGTTTATTTATATATACAAAATAATTATACACAGTGCACCCACATATATTATGTAAACACAAACTTTTATTTTGGATGATATTAATCGCGATTAATCGTTTGACAACCCTAAATCTTACAAAACATTTCTACTTAAAATAAATGAAATGATAAAAAAAATAAATGATAAACAAAATAAATGCTGAACAGTTGAGCTTTCTATTCATAGAAGAATCGTGTAAAACAAAAATATTAAACAGTACTACTGTTTTTATTGCGAACAAAAAATTTTTGTTGAGTACCAAATCAGCATATTTAATAACTTAATAGCTACACTTTGAATAAAAGTGTAGAATAAATTCCAAAGTGTACCTATTAACAATTTAATAAGTTAATAGCTACACTTTGGAATTTATTCTAAAAGGATTTATTAGGATTTATAAAGTATATATATATATATATATATATATAAAGGATATAAAGTTTTTTTTTTCAGATTTATTCTAAAATAATTTGGATATAATTTGGATTTAAACACGATCCCCTCCTTTGTTGATTTACTAGATTCTTCCCCTTCTTTATTAAATTTCTATAGTTATAGTTAGGGTGGCTCTAACTATAAAGTCTAATAATTCGCAAAGGCACATATGATAAAAAATTGACAATTTCAGCCATTATTATTGAAAGAAACACTCAATGTAGTAACCCAGAAATCATTGATTTTCTGTATGGAGCCACAGTAGAATACAGTGTTGGAGGTAAAGCATTACAAGTAACACGAGTCACGCATGATTACATTACTTTTTTCAAGTAACTAGTAAAGTAACGCATTACTTTTAAAACAAAATCTTTTTTTTTTTCTTTTCTTTAAGTAGGGCATGTTTTATTCCCATTTATGGGCTGACACCCCTTCTATCCCATGTTAAGAGAAATCGGGAGTAACTGTAGAAGCATTGTGCGCTGTAGGGAGTAACGCAACATTGAAAAATAAAATGTGTTCCTGTTACAGCATTTCATTTACACATGTGTATGAAACACATCTTAGTTGTCCCTGGAGTGTGTGTGTACCTGCTGTTGCTGTAGTCTCATGTCGGCCACCTCTCTCTGATCTTCAGAGTGAAGTCTCCTGAGCTCCTCACAGCTCTGTTTCAGATGGTTGTGTTCCCGAACCAGCTTGCCGTTCTCTCTTTTCATAACCTCCATCTCCTCCTTTAACTGAGACTGCTCGCTTAAGAGACGGCTGTGCTGTATGCTGATATACAAACACAAAACAAACAAACAACTCCATTTACCACATGAGAAACTGCATCACCCTTCAATTGTGCAGTCAAGTTTGCCTTTTTACATTTTTTGTGCAGTCTACTGTAGGTAAAAACAATCAGAAATGCACTGATCTAGAATAGTATCTCTACAGCATATTAGTAACTAAACAACGATTCAGTTCCAAAATCTAGTAAGCCATCTATGTAGGAATCATTTTAAGGCATCATAGGAGTGCTTTAAAACATAAGCAACATGATGTTGCTGTTCTAAGATGTCTTTTTTGGACAAATTCTAAGAAAGCTTCACACGTACCCTTTAAAGACAATGCAATTTCATAATGCATAGCAAGATGGCCAGCAAATGAAAAAAAAATGTATATATGAATATAATCGACACTTAAAAATAAAACTGAAAATCTAAATTGAATTAGTTAACTATTTTACAAATTCTTAGACAGCATCACTCGTACCCATCACAGAGAGTACAATCCCATAATGCATAGCAACAAACTCCATCCAAGATGGCCAGCAAATGAAAAAAATGTATTTATGAAATGAATAATCGACACTTAAAAATGAAATTGAAAATCAATTTTCAATCAACTATTTTACAAATTTGTAGAGAGTGCAATCCCATAATGCATTGCAACAAACTCATCCCCCCAAAAAAAATCAATTAAGCATATATTTAAATATTGAAAAATATCAATTATCTATTTCAAATCTAACTAAAAAAATCTATTTTACCCACGATTACTATTTTTGTTACGCATTTTATTCTTGAAAGTACAAAACAAAACAAAGTAATATGTTCAGTGTTTTGGCACAGTAAAATGCAGTTCTGATATACCTCGTTTTAGCCAAATTCGAACGGGTAACTTTACTGAAATCAATTACGAGTTGTGTCTTGGTGTGAGGAGCGATATTTACTTTTATTTTAATGCACAGGGCTTTTGCTCATGTAGAGCGATCTATTCTAGTTTGGATGATACCAGTAGACAACAAGGAGGCTCAAACTGAATGAATGTGTCCGTTCTCAAGACATGCATGACAGAGAATGGCTGTGTGTGAGTGCGTCCTGTAATCACACACTGTTGAAGGAATGGGGAATACAGGAGTAATCCCTAGTCAACTCAATCTTCATCTCTATGTGCCCAGAAATGATGGGGACAGGAGGGCATGTGTCCTTACACAGGGCATCATAATCAGATTATAGCCGCTGCACATCTGTGTATGGAGGGACGGTATTATGTTGGTGTGTGGATGACCGCACACTGGCAAACAAGGGTGAGTCAGAGACAACGGAGCAGAACAAACTTCCTAGTGTACACACTCACATATTGCCAACTGGTTTAGATAACGAGGCTACATTAAACCAATGTCATTTAAATTAATGATGACATATGACAGAGCAGTTTTACAATATCCTGTGGCAGTGCTTTCTCCATAAAACTTAGACAAGACACTGACAGGATGGTTCGCATAAAAATTCTGTCATCAGTTACTCACTATCCAAAACCTATTATAAATTTTGTTCTTCTGTTGAACACAAAAGAAGATATTTATTTATTATTTTTCTGTTTTTTTTGTCTAGTGTTGTTTTGGACCCCGTTGACCAAAAACAGTTAAATATTCATCAAAAAATACATTATAATCTTCTGTAGGACGGCATGACGGTGAATAAATGGAGACAAAATTTTAATCACAATAATTTCTTTTTTTTTTATTCCGTTATTGATTTTTTTTTATTTTTGAGGTTTGGAATGATATGTATGTGGATGACTAAAAGGTGAATTTAGATTTTTGGGCGAGCTATTAATAGATATAAATATAATATAAATTATACATTTATAAATATAAAACTCCCAAACTGGGATTTACGCACATCAATATTGCATGAATTGAGCTGTTTAAAGTGCTTTAAACATTAATAAAGCCATAATGAACCTGAAGATGATGCAAGCGCTAATTAAAAACTGTGCTATACATGCAGCAGATGGCTCTTAGCCTCAACTCTCTGTGTTTAAGAGAGACATGCGGCGCCTGTACTCACTGGTAGTAGTCTGCTTCCTTCACGGCCTCCTCGCACCTCTTCAGAGTCTTGGTGTGCTGGTTCTGCAAGGACTGTAGGTCCGCCATGGCCTTCATGCACTGCGTTTTCAGACGCTCGTAGTCATGACCAGGTTTGGAATTTGGCCTTTTAGAGACAAGAGTAATCCATCAGCACTGTGTCCCTCAGTCTGCAAAGGCGGCCCAATGTTAATTGGGATAACAGAGATACACTAGTTTGGAATAACTCGAATTTTCTAAAAATGTTTTTGATAAGTCTATTATGCTCACCAATGCTGTGTTTATTTGAATAATAAAATACAGTAAAAACTGTTTCGTTTTTGCCAGCGCAAACCCTCGTTTGACGTTAAAAAACAGAGCGCTGAAAAGGCTTGGACAGGGTTATTTTTGCGGCTGACCTTTTGTATATGAATTCATAAGAGTTTTCCTTTCAGACACAAAATTTATGGGAGGAGAGTATTTAAATGAATCATGAAAGGTGATTTACAAAAGTTTGCGCTAGTCAATTTATTGATATTTGCCCCATTATTTGCCACCCAAAAAAAGCCAAACCAGATGCTAATTTGTGCTACTCTTGCTAGATTGCGTTTGGTCATTATGGAAATTATCTTGCTGTGTCTGTGTTCTTTAATTTGCACTTCATCAGTAAATCATGCGCAAAACTTTTTACTCCCATCTGCACTTTTTTGGAAATTCCCACTCACGCTAATATTTAGTAAATCTGGACCTAAAAGTCTTTACTGTCACTTTTGATCAATTTCGTGCAAAATCTTACTAACCTGCAAGGTCATGTTTTCAACATTGTTAATATGTAATGTCTCTTTAGCACTAAATCAACATAGAATGATTTCTGAAGGATCATTCTGAAGACTTGAGTAATGTGAACATTCAGCTTCGCACTCACATAATAAAGCTGCACGACTCTGGATATATTGAAAACCACATTTGTTTCAAACAGAGATCATGATTCTCCCACAATTCTGAACGGACAACTAAGCTAAAAAAAAAATGTATTTACTAGATGTTCTGACAAAATATCAATTGCTGAAGTCTATTTAAAATGTTTAGTTGATCTGAATGAATTATTTAGAAAAAAAACAGTTTGAATGAATGATTCAATGATTCACATAAATACTTTTTGTATTTACATAAAAAAGGCATTTTCAGTTTTTGGCTAAAAGAGAAAAAAGGCAGAAACTAAGAGCTGAAAATATATGCCGCTCCACCACTTAGTGTTCAGTGTTCACTCTCGAGCAGCATTTTTTTTACTTTGTGAGTAGCTCCACTTCCAAAGATGCACAACTTCACAGAGCCTTTAAAGTTGCTGTTAAAAACTGCTAAGAATCCATTCGAGAGAGAATCGCGTTGCATTCGGAAAAACTCGCGATTCACGATGCATTTACGATCACGATTTATTGTCCCAGCCCCAGTATTTTTGACTAAATAAATCACATTTAAATCAAAATGAAATCCCTTTACTTTAATAGGCTTTATTTACGTTGGTGGGTAACGTTGGTAACATGTAACTTTATTACGTTGGTAACATGTGGGTCGTATTATTCTACATAAAGCTTGAATGGATGCAGCATTACAAAGGTGTCAGTATATAGTGCAAAACTACACTCATATCGGTTATTCAGGAAGACAAAAAAGAACCGGTGAAACATTCAACTAAGCTTTGTACCTGCAGTCATCGAAGGTGGTGCCAGGGGAGGCAAGTGCCAAGCGCTTGCGAAGTTCATCCCGTTCCCTGGTGACCTGTCTCAGCTGGAACAGGATGGTGTCCAGGTTCTCGCTGGCCGGCCGGGTGTCACTGAGCGCAGGTGGAGGCGATGAGGCTTTGGTACCTGCAACAGTGAGCACGTCACCGGAGCACAGACAAGCTCACCCAGCACTAATGCAGGGCTACGGTCAACACAGAGTCCCCCAAAAAACTAAGACCACAATGGAGGAATCCAACTTGGAGTATGAGTATTTTTTTTTTTTAATTTAACAGTCAGACATACATTCAACCCAAGAGTTGTATGGGGAGTATGAGTATGAGGAGTATTTTCAGAGTATTTTCTCCTTGTGTACCAAAGACCGGCCGTCACAAACATGTAACCAATCCCGTTAACGTGTGAGGCGGGGCTTTTCCACATTGAGCAAAAGAACACATAAAATGGAAAAGGGAAAATCAGGTACATATTGCAGGTGAATTATGTATATTATTATGTTATGATGAACTATATGCCTTTTTGCTGTTCAAAGCCTTTCTAAGGATGCTAATATTTAGAGGGCAGCTGTCCGACTCTGAGATGGTAAACAGGAACATGGTTTGTGTAACATTAACACATTATTAGCTGATTGATAATATAAGTCAAGCCAAAGACTAATCATATAAATTACCGTTAGCCTATGCGTCTGACGTTGTAGAGAGTGATACATAAACGCTTTACCATTCTGATACACTGACTTGTAGACAACCCTGAATAATTCAATCTTCTTCTTCTAAATCAATTTCTGGTTCAAACCTATATGGCTGAATAAAACCAATATTTCCACTTGCCATTGTGTAGTGTTTTCTACAGTTGACCGAGTGGATGTGCAGCTTGTTTGGGTTTAGACCGTATTATTGTAGTATTATTTATATACTATTATAGTATTCATTAATATTTTGACTTATGTTTTAAGTTTTCATTTTAAAATTCAGTTATTATATGTTAGTCCTTTTTATATTTAGGTTTAAGTTTATAAATATAATATTTATATTTGTTAAGCTTTATTTAAAGGAACGAACACTATTTTAATAGTCTAATAGTTAATAGTTTTAGTTAACAGCAACACAAAGCAGAGCTACTATGACTAAAATAGAAAAGAAATACAGGCTTAAAATGAAATCTGACCTATAAAGCTTGGCTGTACTAAAAAAAAACTGCAGAGCAAAAAAAAAGCTGCATAAATAAGCGTAAGCAAAAAAATGTGAACATGCTTGAGGTCACAATGGCTGACATTCTGAGCACTTTATGTAAATGAAGATCTTTCGGGATGAGCAGCAACTAAAATTCCACCATAATCTTTTGGTCTTGGACAATCTGCTGCAGATATTCAGAGAATGAATTCCACTTTACGTAGTAACAAAGAGGATAATCTACATTAAAGATAAACGCAAAACAGAGCTACTATGACTAAAATAGAAAAGAAATACAGGCTTTGTGACCTCAAGCTTTGTGAAATACAGGCTTTGTTCTTCTCTGCCACAATGGCAGAGAAGAACATAGTATTTGTCAAGATGTCATTTCATTGCCTTTGTAGGGATTTATTAGAGGAGGTTAACATGAGATATCTGGATAAACACCACAAAGCTTTTTTAGAAATCATCATTTTAAAATTCCCTTGTGGGAACCCTTAATATGATAATGAAATTCACAGTATAAATTTGTGTATATAACAGCTGATTTTAGAACAGAAGTCACCAAGTTGAGAAACCATGCATGACAAGATTTAAAAATAAAATAATGGATCTTTATAAATGTCTCTATACAAATAAAATATCATATGAAATCATATTTTGTGAAAAAAAAAATGCAGCAATCTTTTATTGTTTCAGGTTGATTCTTTTTTTTAATTAAACGTTAAAAAAATAAGTATATGACGACTAATAAGGTTGATGTGAAAAATTTGCTTTGAGCAAATATTCCCGTGTCATTTATTCGCAACTGACTGTGAACAGGCCTTTTGTTGACCTTGTCGTCTCAAAACCACATTGCTCCCCAGCAGACACAAACAGGCAGAGGGCATTATGGGTATCTCTGGCACAAGGAAACAGCCAAGTCATTTGGATGACGGTCAGCCTCAGAGCACATTCTCCACTGGCACCCAACCAGGAGAACAGGGCTTGGCCTTCAGATAGATCTGCCATGCCCTCCAACACGCATTAATGTTCATCTGAGTCGGCAGTCTGATTTAAGGGACTCAGCACGGTGACAATGTGTGCAAGGTGTCAAGGGTGGGAGACGAAACTCTGACATACCGACACTGCTGAGGGAACTGCTGCTCTCCGAGTCTGATGGCATTGTGGACAGGACGCTGTAGGTGGACCCTGCGGAGGAGAGAAAACACCAGTTATGCTGACTCTTACAGCTCTTTAATTAACTACATGCTCAACTCTAGAAAATACAGAATAATTCATATGCATGCAACTCTCTACAGAATCACGCCTGAACATTTATTAGATTAGTCATTTTGACTGATTTTTATTATCAGTTCTCGCACTTTAAATCGGTTCATTCTCAAGGTGTCCAACACACAGCCCAACAGTTTAGCAGACTTTGTTCTAGCCCAAAACAAAGAAGAAATTAAATATGCTTAAATATGCAATTTGATATAATTGTAACGTGTTTAGATGATATTATTATTGTTGTTATTTAACCCATAAACACAAAGTGTACCGCCGGCTCAGATCGTGGAAAATTATGGTATATCATTATTTAACGCAGAATCTGACTTTTTTTAAAAAGAGCCCAAACCCAAATCAGCAGTTTCTCAGTATTTACTTATGTACTGTTATGTACTTATATCTATGTCACTTAGAAAAATACAACAACTCTAAAAATGCCTTCAGGTATTAAAAGGTTAAAAGTATTGTTATTAATATTATTTGTTATTACATATTATTATTATTATCTAAATTTTATATATATATATATATATATATATATATATTTGTTATTTATTTATAATTCATAACTATTTATTATTTTTAATTAATTATTGTTATTAATAATAATAGAAGAAATAATAATATATTTATAAATATATATTATAAATAAATTATATATATATATTATAAATACATTATATATATATATAGTTTATTTATAATATTATAAATATATTATTATTTCTTCTATTATTATTAATAACAATAATTTTAAATATCTATTATGCATGTTTTGCAATGAAAAGTGATTTTAGAGTGTAAAAAAAGCCATTTAAAAAACAATTCTGTGAATAATGTCATTCTGCTAATCAAATTATTATCAGTACTGTTTGTAAACAACAATATCAATCTCTGACAAGAAATTCTAGCAAACTTTAAGGCTTGAAATGAAATGATCATACACAACACACATAAAGACATTAAAACACTCTGTCCAACAAATCAGACCCTTCAGGAAAACACGAGTATTCCAGAGTGCAATGCTGCAAGAACACCTGAGTATGTAAACAAATATGAGCAATAATGAAATGGATAATTGAATCTTTCAGATTGTGTACAGCTCCTCCACCGCAGGGTTCCTCCTCTCAATGAGCAGAGCGTGTGGTGACAAGGACACGGTTCATTATCACAGGCCTGACTCCACAGTCCACACACACACACACACACACACACCCAAATCCAGCCCGGAGAAGATCACAGTCTATCGGCTCTTCCTTCACTCTCTTATCACATCACCCGAGACACAATTCTGCTTTTGAAGAGCAACTTCAATGCCTCCCGTAGCCTGAAATAACTTCAGGGTAGCAACGATTTGAGAGCAAGGTTTTTTGGGTGGGGTGAAAGGCAGATGGAAATAAATAGAATTGTATAACCGAGTCCTGCGAGTCCTGCACAGGAAGTAGGCTTCAGAAATAGACACCCTGCTTTTAATGCACTCCAAACAAAAGGTACACTTTACAGTGAGAGGATGGATGGAGATTTAACGCATCAATCATTCAATGGCTACAGAGAACAGACATTACTAAAAAGCCCTAAGGGAAAGTCTGCCACATAAACTGGCCTATTTTCAATCAATGCAAATTAGGAAACGTCAAATTATTTGATGATTTAAAAAATTTAAAGCCAGATTTACAAATTTACAGCTGGCATTATTGTATGCATTTGTAGGAGTTTCCCTTTCAGACACAAAATGTATGGGGGGAAAGCATTTAAATAAATCATGTGAGGTGATTTACTAAGGTTTCTGCTAATTAACTTAATGGTATTTGCGTCACTATGTCCCACTCATTAGAAGTATTGGAAATAATTGCTTGAATCTGAACAGAGACACATTTGGCAAAGTTTGACAGATTTAAAACAATAGCAGTAGCCCTTTCCCGTCCTCATGCATTACAGGGCAGAGATGGCATGCTTTGCCCTGGGCATCCTTTCTGTTCGTTTGCTTCCCGCTCTGCACACAGTTGGTCCAACAGTTGTTTCAGGCAAGTAGACGATCAAACCCCCCAAAAACCATCACAAATACGGCATGACACGCGCTGCTATCATAAATTAAGCTGGATTTTAAATCCTGCTATGTGGCAAAAAAAGACCCACAGGCAGAGATTGAACATCCGAGTGTCTTCCTGAAAAATGAACCAAAAGCTGAAGGCTGAAGCTTAATAATGGATGAACGCAAGAGCATTCTTCCAAAAAAACACATTTATCCTTTCGCTTTGACAGTCTAGCAGAATCTGTTTGTACCAAGAAGATGATCTTGAGTCACAATATTACACCATGATGATAATCTATTCGAACATTGTCTCATAGGCTACATTTTACACAGCAGCAGAATCTGGTTGCCTTTTTTAGAGCGCCAAATATGGTTACGTTCACTTCACACACAGTTCAGTAATAAACCAGTGAGTGAAGACCACATTTCATAACATCCCGCAAATCTTCATGATTTAACCCATTTTGAGTGTGGCATGGTTGTTGGTGCCAGACGGGCCAGTCTGAGTATTTCACAATCTGCTCAGTTACTGGGATTTTCATGCACAACCATTTCTAGGGTTTACAAAGAATGGTGTGACAAGGGAAAAACATCCAGTATGCGGCAGTCCTGTGGGCGAAAATGCCTTGTTGATGCTAGAGGTCAGAGGAGAATGGGCCGACTGATTCAAGCTGATAGAAGAGCAACTTTGACTGAAATAACCACTCGTTACAACCGAGGTATGCAGCAAAGCATTTGTGAAGCAACAACACGCACATCCTTGAGGCGGATGGGCTACAACAGCAGAAGACCCCACCGGGTACCACTCATCTCCACTACAAATAGGAAAAAGAGGCTACAATTTGCAAGTTGAAGACCGGAAGTATATTGCCTGGTCTGATGAGTCTCGATTTCTGTTGAGACATTCAGATGGTAGAGTCAGAATTTGGCGTAAACAGAATGAGAACATGGATCCATCATGTCTTGTTACCTCTGTGCAGGCTGGTGGTGGTGGTGTAATGGTGTGGGGGATGTTCTCTTGGCACACTTTTGGCCACTTAGTGCCAATTGGGCATCGTTTAAATGCCACAGCCTACCTGAGTATTGTTTCTGACCATGTCCATCCTCTGATGGCTACTTCCAGCAGGATAATGCACCATGTCACAAAGCTCGAAGCACATGACAATGAATTCACTGTCCTAAAATGGCCCCCACAGTCACCAGATCTCAACCCAATAGAGCATCTTTGGGATGTGCTGGCCCTGGATGTGCTTCCCACAAATCTCCATCAACTGCAAGATGCTCCGATCAATATGGGCCAACGTTTCTAAAGAATGCTTTCAGCACCTCGTCGAATCAATGCCACGTAGAATTAAGGCAGTTCTGAAGGCAAAAGGGGGTCAAACACAGTATTAGTATGGAGTTCCTAATTATCCTTTAGGTGAGTGTGTATATATTCATATATTCATAAGCATGAATATATGAATTTTCAACATTTAAACCTAATATCAGCAAGCTTTTAGTGTGGCGGGATGCCAAGAAGTATGTATATGCACTGATGGTTTTAGCACTCCCAAGTGAAGCACGTCAGTGAATGTCACAGCTTTGCTTTTTTCTCAGAAACCAGCAGATTTATTATGCATGCAGTTCAAATGGAAATCTGATACAGTATTACAGTTAGTCGATTTAAATTACAGTGATTGGCCTTTAAAGGTTCTCAAAGCGATCCTGGGTGTTGACGTTCGAATATTTTCAAACAAATCGGAGCTAGACCCTCCCTCCTCCGCATCTCATCTCCTCCCCCTCCCTTCCGTGCTTCCTGAAATAATTGTGAACGTGCATAGTTCTAGCTAATTATATCCTTGTGTGGGTTTGGCGAACATAAGCGTCAATTTAGAAGAAAAAAAACAATTTAACGTTACCCACCTGTCCAGCAAAAACAGAGCAACCTGAATGTCGGACTGGAAGCCCTTCTGCCGCCGGAGTTCTCGCCATCGTTCAAAAGCTTTGCTACCGATGTAAATTCGGAACTTCGCACATTCTTTATCCGACTCCTCCTTTTTTTTTAATTTGTTCCTCAGAACGACGTCTCTTTGGTCGTGTGTCGGTAATTTTTTTAACTTCCCTCTGATGCTTCGCTGCTCTCCTTCACACACACACCCCCTTCATGTGCACGTGCACTAACCCCCCAGACCCACCCTCAAATACTTCTTGCCAGTGATTGGCTGGAACACTGTTTGTTAGGTTTCGTGGTCCGGGTGAGACATGATTGTTTTTGTTGCCGTTTGTGGAGCCTGTGGTGTCTACAGAGACCGCGTTTTTTACAGTGTGTTTAGGGGACAGGCAGCTAGCCGATAGTGAGGAGACGTTTGATGTATGTGACAAAAAATGTTTTGGCCCAGCATCGCTTAGAGAACCTTTAACAGCTATCAAACATGTATATGCAAATGAGAGATCTGAAATTATTTACCCAGTGCATTTATATATATATATATATATATATATATATATATGCAAAGAATACATTTCTAAGAACTCTTAAACTAGGTTTTTACATGATTGTTTATGTGTTATTGACCCAAATACAGCTGTTTGCCTCAAAAACTGTCTGTGTAAATTATTGTGCAAAAGGGTGCAAATGTGCAAAAACTGACACCACAGGGTGTTGTAGAAATAATGTGCAACAGCTACCTGCCACAACAAAGCTGCATTAACTCAAGTCTGAGTGGTTTGTCCCATTTATGATACTGGGCCAGCAAAGGGGGCGTCAGAATGAGCCTGATAAATGATTCTGTTTACCCACATTTCAGCAGTCTAAATCAGCTGACTTTGGCTGTGCTCCTGCTTCTGCTGTAGAAGCTGCAGCCGATTGATGAAATCTGGAGTCGCCCCAGCACAAGCTGAAAGACAG